AGGGTTGGAAGAGACCCTGAGGGTCATCTAGTCCAACCCCCTTCAATGCAGGAATCTCAGCTAAAGCGTCCATGACAGAGGGCCGTGCAACCTCTGCTTAAAAACCTCCAAGGAAGGAGAGTCCACAACCTCCAGAGGGAAACCGTTCCACTGAGACTGAGGAGATATGATCGCCATCTTCAAATATCTACAGGGCTGTCCCATGGAAGACGGAGCAAATTGGTTCTCTCCTGCTCTGGAGGACAGGCCTCGAACCAACAGATTCAAGTTACAAGAAATATTCTGACTAAACATCAGGAAGAACTTTCTGACAGAAAGAGCTGTTTGACAGTGGAATAGACTACCTCAGGAGGTGGTGCCAGTTGATGGGAGTTGTAGTCCAACAACCTCTGGAGGGCACCAGCTTGGCAAAAGCTGGATCAGATGATCGCCAAGGACCCTTCTGATTCTATGAAAGCACCTTTAGGCCTACATCCTCTCCTTCCCTTCCCTCCCCAAAATACTGCCCGTGGAGGGAGGCCTACTCTGCAATCTCGTCACCCGTACTCACAAGAGCTCCGCCAGCTCCCCAACCTCCCCGACGAGGGCAAGCAGCAGATTCCGAGGCTGGTGGTACTTCCCCCAGCCACGCTCGGCTGTGAAACCAGACTGGAGTCTTCGGCTGTGGGAGAGACAAGAGAGGTGAAGAGAGGTTGATGCTGTGTTCAGCAGAGGCTGGTCCATTAGGGCAAAGGAGGCACTGCCACAGCAGCTTCAGACTTGCTCTTGGCTTGTCTCCATTTGCCTGCCTCTTTACTTACAACCAGTTGGGATGGCTCCACCTACAGTGGCTCTGGCGCCACCTACTGTTAGTCTCCCCGCCTTCTGCCCTACCAGTCCCAAACAGCGCCAATGACCCCTGTACACTGGTTCAGATTTGGGGGTGGGAAGGAGAGGGTGAAGTTATAATCAACCATAAATGTGGGGCCTGTGAGGTGGGAAGAGAGAAAGGAGGGTGTCTCACATGTCTTCCAAGGTAGGCTCAGCGCTGAACTGAAAAGCCTCTGCTGAATTTCCGTTCCTGTTCCTCACCAACACCTCATCCATTTCTTCCTCTTTTGCCTTTGGTGAACTGGCCGATGGGAACAATGCCTGGCGAAGGAAGTCACGGTAACTGTGCGCCTTCATTCCAACCAACTAGTAAGGATTTTTTCCCATCAGTTTGCTATTGGCAGTTTAAAATTGTTGAGATTGGGAGTTGCGAGCTAAACCTGGCAGCTATTTTAAGTCAAGCACTAATCTATTCCCTGCTGGCCAAAAGCCCCACTTGTCCCCAAAAAGCATAGGCTAAATAAAATATTAATAATAATAATAATAATAATAATAATAATGGTAATAATAGAATATGCTATACTGTACATATATACTTCTATGCATACCCATAGGATATTTCTATCCACAGGATATTCTGGAGGTACATATACAGTGGTACCTCGCTAGACGAATGCCTCGCAAGACAAAAAACTCGCTAGACGAAAGGGTTTTTGGTTTTTTGAGCTGCTTCGCAAGACGATTTTCCCTATGGGCTTGCTTCGCAAGACGGAAACGTCTTGCAAGTTTGTTTCCTTTTTCTTAACACCGTTAATACAGTTGCGACTTGACTTCGAGGAGCAACTCATAGAACGCGGTGTGGTAGCCTTTTTTGAGGTTTTTAAAGACTTTGGTGATTTTTGAAGCTTTTCCAAAACTTTCCCGACACTGTGCTTCGCAAGACGGAAAAAATCGCAAGACGACAAAACTCGCGGAACGAATTAATTTCGTCTTGCGAGGCACCACTGTATACACAATACCAATAAGATATTCTGGATATGCTTCCAGAAACTCTGGAATTACAACTCACACAGAAACACAACCCACTCATAGGACATCTCCCGTTTGTTACCTGTGTCCTCCTAGGCATGGTGGCTCCCGTACCAGAATTCTTCAGGTCACCAAGCCCATCCTCAGCCGAAGGCACAGAACAGCCTGGAGGCAAATGCTTCTGATGCTCAGCCGTGGCCATGTGCAGCCGAAGGTCAGAGTAGCCAGCAGGCATTGTACCCTTGCAGAACCTGCAGGCTGCTTTGCCATTGTCTCCTGCCACAGGGCAAAGCCAGACCTTCAAATCCTCCTCTTCCTCCCAGTCTCTGCAATACTTTCCCTCACTGGCAGCCCTCTTCGATGATGCCATGATTGACCAGGCCTGAAAGAGATGTGGGGAGAGAAGCTTGCTGAACAAAGTGGTTGTTAGCAGCAAAGGATAAAGAATGTAGCCGAAGCTTCTTTCACACCATTTAAAGCCTTGTGATACCACTTTAAGAAGTCATGGCTTCCCCCAAAGAATTATGGGAGCTGTAGTTTGTTAAGGGTGCTGAGAGTTGTTAGGAGACCCCTATTCCCCTCCAAGTTTTACAATTTCCAGGGTAGTTTAAAGACCAACCCCTCTTCACAGGGAACTCTGAGAATGGCAACTCCTGTGCCTTTTCCAACATGTGAACACTGTCTGCAGTTTGTATCCACCCAAGTTATATTCAGAGTAGACCCAATGAAGTTAATGGACCTAAGTCAGTTAGGTCTATTCATTTCAATGGGTCTTCACAGTTGGCTAAATCTCTGGCTGCATTATGCACTGTACATGTAAAACACTTCCCTCCAAAGAGTCCTGGGAACTTGTAACTTAATCCTTGCTGAGCAACAATTCCACGCACCCTTAACAAACTACACTTCCCAGGATGATTTGGGAGAAGTCACGTGCTTCAAACTTATTCCACCTGCACAAGACTCTGTGGCTTCTCTGCTGCAGGCACATAGGGAGTTGTAGATGCATCACATCTGTGTGTGTCCCCCACCCAGAATGATAATTTTTTCTAAGCCAATACTCTCCAGTGCTGAGCTGCATAAAGTCTGCTTTCAGTAGCACGGCTCACGCCCTGAAAAAATAGAAGTGAGCGCACATCACTTGAGCATGTGCAGAAGGCTCTTTCCCTCACCCTTAAGAACCCCCTCCCGGTGTACACACACACACCTCAGTGTATTCTCTGCAACTCTAATGCCCGGCTCTCAACGAAAGCAAAGCAACATACAGAGCCTACCTGGGCTCCAAAGGAAACAGAGCAGGCAGGATCCGACCCCTTCTAACAAGCCACGCGCGTTTTCCCGGGTTCAGCGCAGGGAAGCCAACCCACCATCGCCACTGAGCTGGGCTCTGGTAGGGTACAAAGGGTATGACGAACGCACCTGCGGCCCAATCAAAGGTGGCTGGTGGAAGGCGAGAGGAATACCGCAACCAATCAAAAAGAGCAGAGGGTCGCGCCCAATGGGAGGAGAGGCAACAAATAGCGAGTATGGAAGGAAGAGGCGCCGGGATAAAGAGTCATAAACATGCAAAGAAGCGGCCGGCTCAAGGAGTTACAGGAAAAGAAACATCCGGACTGGCTTTATATATATCTGCTATATATCGGCCACAACAATATCATAAAATATCATAAACTAATACTAAATATGCAAATAAAAATAATATAAATATAAGAAATATAATAGGTTCAATATTGTGCACGAATACAGGCATATATATGGGAGGAAACTGCGTGAAAGGCGCGGATTCCCCAGTCAGGAAAGATGCAAGAATCCATAAAACTTGCAGCTGGTCCTTTCTTGCGCATTCTCCTCTCAAACCTGCGTTTTCATTTTAAGGGTTGTTGCGCTGGCCTTAGCCCTAGAAAAATAGAAGTTCCAGCAATTTAGGGTGCTTCCAGTGGAGAGGGTTTTTCTGCACAGTTCATGTGAGGTGTCTGGATTTTTACAGGGAGCACGGATGATGACCAGGGCCGGATTTAGGTTTGATGAGGCCCTAAGCTACTGAAGGTAATGGGGCCCTTTTATATGTCCAGCTGTCCTTTGTCAACAACAAATTGTTGCTGTTTTTTGTGTTGAATATATGATAATTTATGGATCTAATAGGTATCTAAAGCCATTTGCACATAACAAAATATGTATTTTGTCATAGTAATTGTTGAACTGAAATACAATTAAGAAGAAAGAGAGAAATGAGCAAACGAGTGATATTTTAGGGAGCAGGCTAGCAGGTGGGGCCCATTACTTACATCATAGGAGGCTACACAACACAAAATACTGTTGCTATATGTGGGTTTTATTTTATTTGTTTTTTTATCTTATATTTTGGATATCTGTACATCCAGATTTTTTTCCTTTAAATTTTTTTGGGGCCCCCAATAGAGTGGGGCCGTAAACTACAGTGGTGCCTCGCAAGACGAAATTAATTTGTTCCGCAAGTTTTGTCGTCTTGCGATTTTTTTCGTCTTGCGAAGCACGGTGTCGGGAAAGTTTTGGAAAAGCTTCAAAAATCACCAAAGTCTTTAAAAACCTCAAAAAAGGCTACCACACCGCGTTCTATGAGTTGCTCCTCAAAGTCAAGTCGCAACTGTATTAACGGTGTTAAGAAAAAGGAAACAAACTTGCAAGATGTTTCCGTCTTGCGAAGCAAGCCCATAGGGAAAATTGTCTTGCGAAGCAGCTCAAAAAACAAAAAAACCCTTTTGTCTAGTGAGTTTTTTGTCTTGCGAGGCATTCATCTTGCGAGGTACCACTGTATTGCTTGTTTAGCTTATACGTAAATCCGGCACTGATGATGACGATGATGCACCTATCATCCTGTACGGCTCCCATAACTACCCCCTCCCTATTCTGTTTTCTTTTTAACAAATGCTGGAAATAGTATTTTAATGAAAAGACCGTCACCATGTTGCCAGTGGTGCAGATGTTCTGTTGCGTTATTTTCCAATACTTCTAAAGGCTGCTCATGCGATTGCTGATCCTTTGGATGGAGCTTTGCCTACTTTGGCCCTGATATGATACAGCTGTGCAGGAGAGGTTATTTATACAAGGGAAAAACAAGGGTCCAAAGTGCCAAAAGCAATCATCGTGGTCCTAATCCCACCCCTCATTGTACAGCCTCCCACCCCTCAGGAATTCAGGAAATTTCTCTTGTGCAACCAGTTAGACAAGCGAAAAAGTTGCAGAGAGACATTTTGGAGCCTGGCTAGTCAGGTAAGCAACCAACATTGCCTCTTTTAAACTAGCTACATCTGGGATGCCCACAGAACTTTAGATTCTAGGGGGAATCCTAGAACTGCCTTGTCTGGTCTAGTTACTGTGGTTTAACAGTTGGTTTTTTCATTATTGGTTCACACTTTGTTGGGTTTGGGGAGAAATGTATTGCTTTAATATGTTGCTTTTTTAAAGGCTCCCTTTTTATGCTCTTGGCTTTAAATGCTGGACTCTCACCCTCCTCTTTGCGCGCTCTCTCTCTCTCTCTCTCTCTCTCTCACACACACACACACACCTCTAGTACTAGCAGCAGGTAAAAGTTAGAATAATCACATCCGGTGCTTTTTTTCCTTTAAAAAATGTTTAGGGGTCCTCTCATTTTCCTACTCATATTGAAATACTGCCCCTCAGTGAGGCCAAACTTAGATTCACAAAATGTTTAGGGGTATGCGTACCCCTGCATCCTCCCAAAAAAAGCACTGACCACATCCTTCCATTAAAAAATAAGTGAGCCTAATGAGGAAAAGTTGGATTTTAACCTCTGTTCTGCAGGGCTCTTTGCTTAGGCAGTCCAGTTCCCCCCCCACACACTCTCTCTCTCTCTCTCTCTCTCTCACCCACACCCACACACCTCTGCCCTAGTACACAGTACTTTTTAGAGGTAACCTCAGCTGGGACTTTGGGCAAAGTGATGCTACCACTTTGAGTGCCTCAAGGCTGTTGTCAGTATTTTGCAGGAATTATTCACACAACAATTGACTTTAATAGTAATAAAGAAAAACCTGGGCTGCTTGAGATTTGGAAAGTAATGGGGAAATGTGTCCCAAAACGTGAGCTGAATGAATGATTACAGGAAAGAAATGGAAATACCCTGCAAATAACTTTGGGGTGAATGTAGGATGAATGGTCCTTGTCAGAGAACGTCTGCATAGTAAACAAATCAGAACAGATGCTCACAAAAGATTGGCCATAGTTTAACCACTGTGTAAACTTTGTGTACAGATCAGCAGGACAGCTGGACTGGTTGTTAAGCAAGAAAGAAAGCAGGCAGGTGGGGGCTGGCAGTGTCCTGCTCCCCCTGAAAAACCAGGGCAGGGGTGTCAACTTGAATAAAATATTGGCGAGCAGGTAAGCCCTGACCCATATAGTCAGTCACAAGAAGCAGCTTACATACATCATTTGAATGGCAATTCACATTAACTTTTGGGTAGTTGGCCCCCTCAATTATTTTATTGGGGGGGCCCTGGGAGTTGGCTGCTATGAACCAGGGTGAGCCTCGCTTCCTTTCCTTTTACTAACAGCATACCACGAGTAAAAAAAACAAGGGGGTGAGTATAACAATCCCCAAAACAGTTCAATGAGAACTGAATATGCTTGGCAGCCTCAGAATGTTGGGAAACTTTTGTAAGGGTGGGACAGATTGCTGGTTGGGGGGGGGGCAGCGCAGAGAATAGACTGGCATATCCTGCAAAAGGGTGTTGCTGGCTAGCACCCTGTACAAGAGGACACTACCCAGAAGGTCCCGTTAGCATTTCTTCCTTTCCCCCCCCCAACAGGGTTTTTTAATTGAACCCATTATATTTCTACACTAAAATAAAAAAAATGAAAGGGGGGGGGGAGAAAATACAAATTGTCCAGTTTACTGATGTGATATTATTGTTTCTTCTGGTGTATAGGGGAGAAATTGGGGCGCAGAAGCTGGAGCTAGCTTATAGGTGAGTCCCACTTCAAATAATCTGAAAAGCACCTATATCTAGAAAATGGTCAGCTGTCAGACTGTGGCCCCTTTGTCCAAGTAGAGAGACGGTCATTTGCAGTCACCAGCAACACAGGGACCCAAACATTATCACATTCCAGATTTTCTGAGTTTTTAGGTAGTCATAGGAAGATAACCAAATTTAGCATCCTTCTCCTCCCACTAGGGAGAGCTGCCATCAGGCAAAGGGTAGCAATTCCCACCCCTCATTCCTACCCCTAGGTGACACCATTAGTTTATTGGGCTTTGTCTGGTATGCCTTTGCCGATATCTCTATGGTTTCTTCTTCCTAGTCTTCATGGCCTCCCAGCCAAATCTTTCACACCTTCTGCCCGCTGCCCGCTTGCGTCAACTGGCCTGTGACTGGCTGCGGGAAGATGCTCCTGCCTTCGACTACGGTGGCTATGCTGTCGGTGACCGTCAGGAATGTGCCGTGCTCCTCTGCAAGTCCCCAGGAGTCTTAGCGGGCTTCCCTTTCTTTGAGGCCATCTTTGCTGAAGTTGGCTGCTCTGTGGAGTGGCTTCAGTCGGAGGGAGCCTGGGCAGAACCAATCAGCCGGGTGGCGGAAGTGCGTGGGCCAGCCAAAGATATATTGCTGGGCGAACGGGTGGCTCTGAACTGTATCGGGCGGTGCAGTGGCATTGCTACGTCAGCAGCCAAGGCGTGTCAAGCTGCGCGGGAATCTGGCTGGCATGGAGAGGTGGCTGGGACGAGGAAGACCACGCCAGGCTTCCGCCTGCCTGAGAAGTATGCTCTCCTGGTGGGAGGGGCTTCTTGCCACCGCTACGACCTGGGGAGCCTCATCATGTTGAAAGACAACCATGTGTGGGCATCAGGTGGAATCACACAGGTGGGTGTTGCTTTGCCAGTCTGTCTCCTTCCCTCCATCACCCTGTGACACATATGGCGGTAGAACAAGGCCACATCTGAACCTTGCATAATAAGAAACATGGCTTGCCCCAAAGACTCATGGGAACTGTGGTTTGCTAAAGGCGCCAAGAGCTATTAGCAAACAATTCCCCTCACTAGGACTGGGCGATATCTGGTTTTCAAGATCGCAATAGAGCACCAGCTAAACATCACAAAATATACCAATATATCACGATGTCTGAAATAAGCAGTTCCAGCCCCTCTGTGGTCAGTTCTGGCACCTCTTTGGAGGCAGCAGGCAATCTGGGCAGGGCGGCGGCATCGATGGTACCGTAAGCAGCTGTGGCGTTGGCACTCCCTAAAAAAAGCTGCACAATTTTGGCGCTCCCTTAAAAAAAGCTCAACCACTTGTCCATCTCAAAAAGTTCCTGCACCTATTTTTCTAGGGGGGGGGGAAGCACTGGAAATAAGGATGGAGTTAAGTAGAGGCACTGGGTGGCTTCACGGTTTTTCCCCACATTGTGATTTATGCATAGCACACATACATCTTAATTTGTGATCTATTTATTGCCAAGTCAAAAATTATGAAACAGCATGATACGGACTTCAAACCGGTTTTGGACGATATATCGCCAAGCTCTACCCCTCACAGGGTAACAATTCCCAGAGTGGTTTAACAATCAATCCCTCTTCCTGGGGAACTCTGGGAATTGTAATCGTGTGAGGGCAGTAGAGGTCTTCTAACAATTCTTTCTATGATGCTTAAAGTGGCAAATGCTTTAAATATACAGTACAGAAGAGGCTAAAGTCTCGTTGTTACGTTAGATGTGAATAAGTGGGATTCTTCAAATTGTTTTTAATTACATTTTGAACTCTACAATAACCAGGAATAGGTTTTTTTTAATAAAACCAAACCAAACCAAAAAACCCTAAACCTGACCTTTTCTGCAATGTGCATTAGCTTACTTCATACCTGTTTTTTAAATGTTACCATCCCACAGGCCATCCGGAGTGCCCGGCGCGTCGGAGGCTTCGCCCTGAAGGTAGAAGTTGAGTGCCGTTCGTTGGAAGAGGCTCTTGAGGCAGGAGAATGTGGTGCAGATATTATCATGTTGGATAACTTTGCTCCGCAGGTAAACTTGGCTGGGCCAAGATGGGGACAGGTGCTGAAGCTTAAATTGCTGTCTGTGTCCTTTTATTGCTTTGTAAACGGCTTGACTTTTGAATTTTTGGAACTTTGAAGTGAAAGCACCACAATCTTTCAAGGTGCTGTCAAACAGCATTGTGTTAATGGCATCCAGTCCCTTCAGGAATTGATCCATTTTGATTTTTACTGCTGTGGTCCCCCATTCCTCATCTGACTCCAGCATGGATTTGTGCCTCCAACTCACTCAGCCTTGGGCAGGCTTTAGTGTTTGTTAAAAAAAACCACAACTCTACCACCCCAAGCACTGTGTCCCTTTTGTACTGTGTAGCTAGCCTACAGTACAAAAGTAAAATTGACATTAGTTGCCCTGCTGACTTTTCCCTCTGGCTCCACCCACCAGCTTGTGGCCCTCGAAAGTTGCCTAAGAAGGCAATGTGGCCCTCTGGGTGAGAACTATGCACCAGTTTCAACAGCAACTATCCCTCAAAGGCAATCTGAGAATTAGGCCTCAGTTGTGACACTGAGGGCTCACCCACATCTACCGTTCCTCCGCTCTTTCCAGACATGGTACATGCTTTAAACCTCCAAGCTCCCTTTCTTTCTGCATTCCCCACGAAAACCCACTCTTTAAAGCTGAATCAGAGCAAACCCAAATTGATGTTTGCTCCAATTGAGCACTAAAGAGCAGGTTTCTGTGGGGAAAGCTGAGGGGCAAAAAAACAAAAAACAAATCCAACCCACCATTCTCGGACATGGAGCTTGAAACATGCACCTGTGCCTGGAAAGAGCAAGGCAACAAAGTGTGAATAAGCCCTGAGATTTTTGAGTGGACTCTGCCTCTGTTCCCGTTAACCTCCACGCCCCAATTCTCCTCCTACACAGGACCTGCACCCCACAGCCAGTACGGTGAAGGCCTCTTTCCCTCGGGCGACAGTGGAAGCCAGCGGGGGGATCACTGAGGATAACGTGGCCCAGTTTGTGGGGCCCGACGTTGACGTGGTCTCCCTCGGTTGCCTCACCCAGTCAGCAAGAGCTGTGGATTTCTCTCTCAAGATCTGCCGGGATCCGGCTTCCAAGCCGCCACTGCGGAATTTTGTCTTCTGAGTCCTTAGGATGGGAGACCCAGACAAGCGGCCTTGCCAGGTGGCGGGAGATTTGGTGTTGGTGGTTATGTAGTAGAGGTTGGGTAGCACCAGTTGTGTACAGTGGTACCGTACCTCGGGTTAAGAACTTAATTCGTTCTGGAGGTCTGCTCTTAACCTGAAACTGTTCTTAACCTGAAGCACCACTTTAGCTGATGGGCCCTCCTGCTGCAAGAAGCAAGAAGCAGACCTTTATTGGCTTAAAATCATTTGTGTGTGGATTTGTGTAGTGTAGCTACGGGTGGACTTCTCCTTCCCCCACCCTCTTAGCTAAGGAGGAAAGTTCAATTTTAAGGCAATGCTGGCCACCTGCAGTTTTTATACATTAAGAGATGAGGAAATGGCAGCTGTTGTATCTGTTGTATGCTTTCTCTTCCCATGAGGCCTTGATTCAACTTGACACCTGCACAGCCCCTCCCCAACCAAAAAGCCTCGTTTGAATAGCTGCTGCCTCTTCCCACATTCCATCTTTTAAGATTCTTCCCAGAGGCAGGCAGCATGGCTGCGCCCAGCCTCCCTTTCTTAGCTTGCTCCATAGCCCCAAAGAGTTCTAAGAAACTCAAACGCTTCCTCTTTGCTTTGTGACATGTTGCTTCACCTAATAATGGTAACCCCCTGCCCCCCCCAGTATGGATTCTAGAAAGTATTAAAAAATATTGGCCGGTATTCAGCTGAGTGCTGCTCATAATTGACAGCCTCTGAAATTTGCAAACCAGAGGCAGCAATCTTCATCGCATTTACCCAGGAATTGGTCCCACTAAATTCAATAGGAGTTACTTCTAAGTAGACCGGGTTAGGATTACACATTAAGTCCAGTGGATCTGCTATGAGTAAAATGTCATTGAATACCACCCATTATATTTATATCTGCTGCTCAATTAATTAAGTGGTTTTTATTAATTTAGGCCTAATATGTTATTTTTCATCAATCTTGTTATATAATGTCCACCACTCCTGTTTTTATATTGTGATGGCCTATGGTTAAATGCAATAAATATGGAACACATACTTAATAATTAACTTTTTTTTAGTGTGTTAATCTAATGGCCCTAACATGAGCAGAAATATAAATTGGTTTTAAAAAAAGAAGATGTACCCACTGCATGAATCCATTCCAGGAGTGTTTGAATTTCAAACTGAGAGAAGTCAAAGAGACTGTAACCACAGGGGTGTTAGAAACAGAGGTGTCCTCATCTTTATTAAGACATTTTACGGAGGAAGGTCCCGGTTAGGTTAAGACAAGTTGAAGTGGGCACGGCTTTGGCTTTGGGGGGTATAGTTTTCCTCCCCAGATAATAATACTAATAAATAACAGGTTTGACGTGTGTATTGCTGGGTTACAAAAGTGTGTGGATCATCTGGGACCAGTGTAAGGTAAACTCCCCGGCCTGGGGGTGTTTGGGTGGATTCCCCCACAAAGCAAGGGTGGGGAAACCAGGGCTTATTCCCCTTCCTTGTCCTCTCCGTGTGTGATTACGTAGCAAATGTTCTTGTAGTCAACGTTGCCAGCTACATCTGGAGGGAAGGCGTGCCACATGTTCTTGATCTGAAAGAGGCAGAGAGGCCAAAATGAGAAGTTGCCCGATTCCTGATTCGGTTTCCCTTCCCAGGAAGCTAAAAAAAAGGTATACAGTACTCCCAAGTCAGTAAATGCATTGGTGTTATTTTCAATACAGATGTCTGAAAAGTTGGAGGGGGCGGATGGGCATTCAGAAGCAGAGAAGCTGCTTGATGTCAATAACAGATTCACGATTTTACAAAGTTTTCCGCAGAACTGCAATGGCTGCTTCCATTTCCCCTCTGCCAACCTCACCACCTCACTCTCAACTTAGTTCTGTCCTGCAATGGAATTGTAGCATTTAAACCATTGAATCACGGCACAGGCACACTGTTCTGTCCTAGGAGAGCCAGCATTTAACATTCCAGTGGCTGAGTATTTCCCTTCCTATCCAGATGAACACGAAGGCTACGACCCTAAATCCAGAAAGGACAGATAAACAGGAGTCAAGGGCAAGTCTATATAAAAGCTGCACTTTCTGGCTAGGCGGTGTGTGGATGTGGGCTGTGAGATTATTTCGCAGTGACAGGAAAACACAATGCAAATTCTCAGAAGCCTTTCATGATGCCTTGATGTATTAACCATTAGCTTGGCAGATGAGTGGAGTGCGCAGAAGTGTACCCTTTTGTGTTTTTGGGGAAAGAGTAGCTCACAGGTGAAGAAAAATTGGTATGAAGGGGACAAGGTGGGAGCATAAAGGCGAGAAAAAGGACTGGATGTTCTGCATGATGCAAGGAAGTTCTCTTACCTCTTCTGGGGTGAACCGGTCGCACTGGGTGGTCAGGAGTTCTTCCAAGCTGCAATGAAGCAAAGAGAGTAAGATGTTTGAGAGGGATCCCCAGGTAAGTGTGAGTCCTTTTTTAGGTGGTCTTCAAGCACTCCAGCCTCTTATTATGGAGAAGATCTGCTTCCCTGTCCCCTCCCAGTTTCACATAAGCTGAAAGCCCTCCCTGGTGGAAATATTTTTGCTTGGAAGAATGCTTTGTTCCACACACAAACATACATACAAAAGGCAACTGTTTCATAGGCAACAGAACCCTACATTTGAATTCCATCATTGGAAGAACTTTAACCCTGCAACAGCATGCATTTAAAATTGCTATAACTCTTCCCAGGGCACTGTCATTTTATGAAAAAGGCCATGAAGCACTAAGAAAAATCTCAAAGTCATCAGCAACGGTGGTTTGGTGAGGGTTCTGAATCCTCACAGACCTTACAGCTGCCAGAATGATTTCTGAAAGGAAGTCATGACTATTAAACTAGTGTAAAATGAATTATATAAGTTTGTAGGATAGACGGCCAACATATCATCATCATCATTATCATCATCTGAGATGCAGCAGGATGGTTCAGACATAACAGCCTATACATGATGTCAGGTCCAAGTCCCAAGAGTGCATACTTCTTCCTCTCCAACCACAACTTGCTTTCAAATCTGAACAGACAAACTATGGTTTGCATTTGCTTTCTAAACCACAATTGGAAATCATATTAGGAACCACATTCTGAAGTAGATTTGGAGGGCAAACACAAAACTTAAGCAAACGGGGGTTTGTTTGATCAGGTGAGTTGGGAAGGAAATGTGAGTGTGTTGGGGAGCACATGAACCCAGTGACAGCCAAGCAATGGTTTGGTGTCGCATGTTAACCAGCGCAGCACATCTAAGGAAAGTGGTTTGTGGGGCAGATACTCACAACTGCTTCTTGACAGTGCCCTTGCCCTCAGGGTCCAGGATTTTGAAGGCGCCAATGATTACGTCCTCGGGATCAGCACCTGGTGGGAGAAGAGGAGCCACAGTGAGATCTTGTCATCAAGCAGAGAAGAAGGAGAGATAGAACAGGGAAATAACTTACCCTTCAGCTTCTCACCAAACATGGTGAGGAAGACAGTGAAGTTGATGGGGCCGCTGGCCTCCTTGATCATGGCATCCAGCTCCTCATTCTTCACGTTCAGGCGCCCTGCAGAGATGGGAAGGGCAGGATTATCAGCTGGGGGTGGCTTTTGAGAGTTCCATCAACAGCCAAGCTTTGCTTTCCTTCCTGCCCACCCTGCCACGCTCTTTCAAGACTCCCTTTTTTCTTACCCATAGCAGCGAATGTATCTCTCAGGTCTTCCTTGTCAATGATGCCATCTCTGTTCTGGTCAATGACAGTGAAGGCCTAGAAAGTGGGAGAGAAGCAAACATTGTGGGCTTGCAGGCAATGCACCTCCAGCATTCCACCCTACCTCCCGACAAAAATGAATGTAGGATTTGTAGGGTAACTCTCCTTTGTAACAACTGTTGGATCTCGAATCTGTCCGCTCTCAAAAGGATTTCTAAAATGCGTGAACACACAGATCTGCACTGAAATTTCCAGTTCCAAAACTATATATAATACATACATGTAACTCAGCTTTTATTTAAATGGTGAGATATTGCTGGTCCTCTAAAGACCTGTTTGCACATGCATGTTCAGCGCTTGATTCCTGCTACCTCAACTGACAGTTCTGCAGTTCTGAATAAAACACTACAGTTCAACCACCAGAGAAGAAAATGTCATACCACCTCAGAACCTGAAACACAAAACTTTTCAGGGAGTCGATTCGTAACACTCCGCTGGCAGTGACCATGTCACAAGACATGAACTTGTTTGTGTGACTGGGTTATAAGTTCATCAGTGGGTGTGAGTGCAGTAGTTTTTACTGGAACCACAGATTGCTTTGTTGCTACACAATACCTATCCATTAGCAAAAGGAAGATCGCACACACTCATGCCTGTGTTGACAGTACACATTTCAAGACCTTGGTTTCATCATGTAAATGTCCATGGCAAGGTGAACATACACCAGCCTTGAATGAACTTCCTTTGAATGTTAATTTTGACTTCTGGAAAGAATATTAAAAGGAGCGTTCTGACTTATGATTTCTGCTTGAATCCAAAGTTGTGGCTATGGGATAAACAAGACCCTCTTGGAGTGTCAGTGCTGTGAACCTCTCCATCGTAGGCTCAGATTATATATATGTGTAAATAAACCCTAAATCCTAAAGACACCACCGTCTCTGCTGTGCCACATTTCCAAAAGGAAACCTGAACCCTGGGTGCCTGGAACCCCTGGAATCTCACACCACTCCGAGATTGGGGTGGCGTCTAACAAAACGTTGGCTGTGGCTGGTGGGAGTTGTACAACCTATGGGGGGCACAAGGCTACTGGCCAACAGAACGGAATACCGGTATGTTTGTGGCTTCTAACTATCGAAAAAGCTGCTGCAATGCAAGGGAGAATCAAATCCAGTCTTTATTGTTACAATCAATGGCCAGCATTGTTCAAAGAAGAATGAAACATTAACCTGGGGTCATCAAGCATTGGGCAAAAAACAGTAGTTATAGCCGCCCACTATATAATTTACTCAAGGAGGTTGCCAGACGTCTTATCTCTGGAATTTTAATGAGCTGACAGGACGGTTAAAGTTAAAGGAGTTCCAGAAAACGTGACCCAGGTTGGACCCCAAATCCCTTCACCCTCTTCCAGTCGTCTTCTATTGATGCTTATATCTAGCAATGCATTGTGGGATTGGAGAAAGACCAGCTTCCAGCACAGCACGATCCCGTTGGGCCTCTCCTCCCCCTCCTCACTTCTCTGCAGCTGTGCCCTAGAGACACCTGTCACTTGATACCCCTCCGAGTCTCTACCAGGAATGGGAACAATCTTCTTCTGTCTCATATTAAACCCAGGGCCCCTCCCTAAGGGGACAGATGGAACATTCCAGAGGAGCTGTTGATGAGATCTCCGGAGGATAGCGGGGAGGGGAAGGGAGCTCACTCCTTCCTTGGCTCAGTCACTATTATCCTCTGGGGCTGTGTGGCGTGTCTCTTTCCCGTAAAAAAACATGGAACGACCTCCACCCCACCCGAGCTACAGCAAATGCAGAATGGAGAGGCAGAGGAGCTCCCAACACTCTCTTCATTTTAAAGGCAATAATTACAATTGTGTGGTGGTAGTAATTGCCTCATCTCAGCACCTCAGCTTTGTCACTTGAGTGCTGGAGGTGAACAATCTTTTTGTATAAAAGCTGAACATGCAGTCCTCCAAAACGGTACTCACTGAGGGCATAAATCCTTAGCTACTCTTGGGCAGGTGTGGAGAAAGACAACGTAGCTGCCACTGCCAAGGGACAATGGAACCCAAAAAATACACCATAGCATAAGCTGGCTATATAATTTTCCCTTATACCAAGTCAGGCCATTGAGCCACCTTAGCCAAGAGTTGCTGTTCCAACTGGAGGTGTTTCCAGACAACCTGTTTATTGAGCATTCACCCCTAATTTGTTTACAGGGAGATTAGACAAAGCTGGCTATTCAAGAAGCATTCGTTCTGAATAGTTTGCGGGGAGTAAATGTCACCTCATACTTTCCAGTCCAGTCTCCCATCACAGTCGCAGGGTTGTTTTGAGGATAAACTGGGAGATGGAGGCGGGTTGGGGAACAGCCATTATCGCTACCCCAAGCTGCTTAGAGGGAGGTGGTCTAGAAAGGTCATCGACAATAAACTGCCCGGTGGCCAAGGATCAGTTCTTTTCACCAAATGTATTGATTGAAAGTGGGTTGTCATCAAAAAAGTAAAAAAGCTGAAAATGCTCATTGACCAGGATGGAGGAAAGAGAAAGGAACAAGACTGATGGAACTCCCCAGACAGATGGAATGATAATTATTTTCCTGTTGCTCTTTTGATTTCTTTTCTCCAAATGTGAGATCTAGATGAAGGGTTTTCAGCCTTTGCAATTTTTGCTTTCGTTGAGTCTGGAGCCCCACAGCTCCTCTTTCAGGCCAGTCACCCAGAATCCATCTCCAAAGATTTCCTTGTAAGGAGCTGCCGCCTGCTTCTCTGTCCAAGCGCAGATGTCACCTACCTTCTTGGTCCTCCCTCACCCAAAATAGACACTGCTGCGTCTCAAGGGTCTCAGAAAGGAAACACCGCCATTCTTGGGGTGGGGGTGGGGTGTCGAGGGGCAGCAGCGACGGCTGCGAAAGGGCAAGGGAGATCCTCTTCAAAATGGAGGGGAAGAATCTCATCCATGGGGGGGGGGCGAGCTTCACATGGAAAGCTCTCGCCGCCACCACCACCACCACACCAGCTTCCAAGCGGAATGAACCTGGCTGGCTACTAGGAGACAGAGGGCTACTTAAATGGTGTGTAGAGGGAGAGGAAGGGGGTAGATCCACCTCAAAAAGGGAGGTGTTGAACACCTTCCAAGGCTGCAACCCTGCGCATGCTTACTTGCTCGCTGTGGGGCTTCCTTCTGAATAAACATGCCTAGGGTTGTACTGCACAACTAACTAGGTGGTGTTTGATAGTTTCAGCTCCTCTGAGGTTCTGTATCCTACAGACACCAAGGAACTTGCTTAGGATAACTTGGCCAAATTATAGCACCCATGGATTCCTTCTCCCGTTCTCCCTCCTTTAGGAAACCCTCTAGAACTTGTAGATGTCCGCCATTCTCAACATCTTATGAATCCTGAACAGTGAAAGGGCTAAAGTGAAGCTTGAGAAGGGAAATTAGTGAGGTCTGGGCCTCCATGTGTGAAACTGGGTGGACAGAAGCTGCTCCATTTTAAAAGGTTTGATTCTATCCAATCAATCTGCCACAGATGTGTTACTTTTAAATAATCCACAGATGAAAATTCCGGACTCTGTAGATTTCTTACGGTCAGAACATCCTTCCGCATAGCTTACTTAGGTTCTTTTCCCAATCAGATGGTCCTCAAAATTAAATTTCTATCCTGTTCCAAGGAGGTGATCTATAGGTTTGAGTCTGTTATTATCAGGATTATTAATAACTTTTGTATCCTTCTGATTTCTGGATGAGACTTACATGCCCACAATAAAGCAGCTTCTCTCCAAACACTGAGTCTGTAATCCCGCTTTACCTTGGAGTTCAGTCCCATTAAACTCTATGGGACTTACTTCTGAGTAGATATTTATAGGATTACACCGTTGCTGTGTACACACCATACATTTAAAGCACATTTAAAGCATGCCCCACCCAATGAATCCTGGGAACTGTAGTCACCTTCATTTCTAGTACCTTGAAAAAAACATCCTTTCTGTCAATGACTTTCTCAAACATCTTCAATGAATAGTTCCAGGTAAGCTTTAAGAGCACCATACATTACATTTCCCAGTAAGCTGCACATTTCCCATTTTCTCCTCTTCCATTTCTTCTTAGTTTCTTACCTCTTTGAACTCCTGGATTTGTGTTTGGTCAAACATGGAGAATACATTGGAGCTTCCTCCTTCGGCTGCTGCCCTTCTCTTTGCCTTTTTGGGTGCCTGTAATGGGTTAAAATGGGAAATCAGACCACTAAGTACATGACCACCCGAAATGCTTATTAAGGATAGGGGACAGGGGCCGCACTTTCTGCAGGTTTCTAGAGTGTGAAATGTTGCGAGCTTGCTGAACATAGTTAAGGGGGTGGGGAGAGAAATGAAATAATTTTATACATTTCTGTCCCGGGTAGGAGGGAAATGTCTGGAAGCAGTTTCTGCTCATTTTTAAATAATTTTTTTTTTATTACAGAGGGTGGGGGTTATTTTTTCAGATTCAAAACAGGATGCTACCAAACTTTCCACAGACATGGGGAGCAGGATAAAGGCCCAGGAGATTCCAAAATGCTTGGTTATGGTAGCAAAGGTTTTAAAAACTGGGAGGAAAAGAAGATCCTTTGACGAACAAACTCAGAACTTTAGATAGTGTTTGCGAAATGGCAGGAACAACAAATGCTGCTTCAGGTGGAGGAGCTGTAATATATCATATTCAAGGTATTTCCTCAAAATATTCAATGTATTAGTCTGAGATGCGTTTGTGAGAGTGAGTGACAGAGAGAGAGATGCGTTCAGCAAATGTAAACTAGCCTTGTGTGTCCTGCAGAAATTGCCTACATATTCTAGCTTCCAAAAATGCTTTTTATAGGTTTTGACGACTAAATAAATGAACGCTGATGAGGTTCTGGAAGATTCCGCAGATGCGGGAGAAACCGCAAAGGCCCCAATGAAAGAGGGTTCCAGTTATTGGAATGTATCAAAGTTCACAAAGTAGGCCTCCTCCTTGGAGGTTGGCTTGGAGCATGAGGTTAAATGGAGCTCTAAGGAGTGTTGGCAAGGCGTACACAATTCCTTCTGAACACTCCTGAAATATATTGGTCTGGCTGATCGGATATGAACAGGGTGCACTTTGGCCTCATAAGAGATAGAAGGCAGCAAAGGAGTTTGAGCAATAGCTGAGCTGGGTGGCAGGGTTGAGGTTTACCTAGGTAAGTGTATATGTCAAAGGATTCGGGAAATCTCTCTAACATACCACAGAAGATGGAGCTGACACACACACACAGAGACAATTAAGTTGTATCTCTTCGACTGCCACCCTATATACAATTACTTGGGTGTAAGCCCCACCGAAATCACTGGGGCTTACTTCCGAGCAGTCATACATAGGATTTCTCAGCGAGTACCAATAGATGAGCCATTGATGGATTGAACAGCCAAGGGCGGCAATGGGTTATTTTTGCCTGCAATGTGTGTGAGAGGCTGCTTGGCTCGCTTGCGTGAGCAATCTGGAGTGATTGCTTCCTAAGCAGGTTTTGCAGTACACTGGCTCTCTTGTGCTAGTGACAGCCTGTGACTTGGATCTCAAAATATGAGGGGTGTGTGTGTGTGTATTGGTGAAGTGACAAGCCACACAAGAGACTCTGAGGGCAAAAAGAAGAAAAAGCATACTCCTTGTGCTTCTTTGTTCCAAAACCAAAACTGTTCCACGGTATCCCTTGATTCCAGCTCCTTTGCTTTGGATTTTGTGGCGCCGCCAGGAATATGACTCCTGAAGCTTTTGTCTGCTCAGCAACCGCTCAGCTGCTCTTTACACACACTCTCTCTCTCTCTCTCTCTCTCTCTCTCTCTATTCAATATGGGGTCCAACTAATTCCCAGCTGAGTAAACTGTTCTACTGCATTATTCAAGAAAAAAGAGCATGATATGGTTATTCAGGGCCTGAAAGGATTCCCTGGTGAATTTTAAGGTGCATAGCTCAGCAAAGGAAATAGGATCTTAAGGAAGGCTAGCCAGAAAGCAAGGAAGGATGTGAAATAATCCTATTTAACATGACATTCTGCATGCGGTTTAGGCTTCATCTTTCCCTTCCCCTCGTCAAAAGCTGTTCTTCCCAGCTGCTATCTGGCATCCCACCTCATTCAACTACCCCCAATCTCTCCTCGATTGCTCCGAGGTATTCCCTGAACACACACATCTCTTCTGCACAGACAATAAAATGTTTAAGTGGAAAGAAACTGAAACGGAGAGATGAGACAGAGAAAGAGAGTAGTGAAGAAACCGATGAAAGGAGAAATAGGTAAGAGAAAGACCTGTATAGCACTGTTTTGGCAATGAAATAAAATTTTAGAAAATTGTTAAGGGGATTCCTCTGTCCCCCACTCTCCAGCACCCAACCTCTTGGGTGTTCAGTTATGTATTTCATCTACATAACCTGAATGATCTCCTAGTCTTCCCCTCCTATTTGAAAGAAAAGAGCTGCAGATTGATCAACCCACGTTCCATTTTATTTCCACTTTGTACATTTCCACTAGATTGAACCAGGGCACCTGCACCCCACTTACCATTTTGGTTTCTCAGCGGACAGGCAGGTGGGCAAACAGCAGCTGTGGGTGCGGTGGGGATGTCCCAAGGGCCAGAAGGATGAGCAGCCTAGACACAGGCTGTGAATTCCCCTGGGGTTATATAGACTCCCCTGGCGGGAGGCGGGGCAGCTAACTATAGCCACATCTTCAAGTTTGGCTCCAGAGCTGGGGGTGGGGGGTAACCAAAGTCCAGAAATAGACTCCAGAGGAACGCAAACGGGCCAACTCCTTTCTTGGAGAAGGGAAAAAGCATACTGGGGTTTTGACAGTTCCTGCCCCAGAAATCTTGCTATCACAGGGGTTCGTGGTAGTATCCCACCTTCTCCCAGAGTAGGTCCTGCGTCTACCCAGTTTGGTGTCAGGGTGAACCTCTGGCTCTGGCTTAGGGCTCCACTGATCTTTTGCCAGGACTCAAAAGCTTCAACTGGGGTTATTTGTGACTTGCATCATCAATTTGCATTATAAGGTATGAGAGGGCAGGTCGCCGCCACGAGGTGTTTACAATCTAAAGTGTGACTCGGGGGAGACAACCGAGGAAATGGAGAGAAGGGGATTGTGGGGGAAGACAAAGAAGAGAACCGTGCATTTATTTCACCTGCACACGGTACGTCGGTATAGTTAAGGTGAAGCTATGTATGCCAAAGCCTTTGCAGGAAATGTGTTTTTTTAATTCCTTGTAAGAAATTCAGGGATCAGGGGCTAACTATTTTGTCAGACTTGATACACAAGGATGGCCAATGTGGTACCCTCCAGATTATCCCATAATCCCTAGTCACTGGAAATTGTAGTTAAAACATCTGGAAGGCACCACACTGGAAGGCACCCACAGTAAGATTTGCACTATCCCATGGGCCTTGAGCTTGGCAGCTACTCTTAAAAGCTCAGCCCCACTCCCTAGCCCCGGAGGTTCTCTGTGGGACCTCTGTTGCCTGGCCTCCATCATGGGCTGAGAAAATTTCAGCTCCTCACTCCCATTTCCTTGCCTCAGAGGTCCTCAATATCCGCCTTCTTCCCTTTGGCCCTCTCCCTACCCTTCCTCCCAGCCAAGGGTATCCAATGTCCCTGAGAAAATTTCCTTTTTGGGATTGTGGGACCCAGCTGTCGCTTGCAAGGCACCCAGGCTGGAGTAGAGGCTCCTAAAGATAGCAATCTTGAGCTTCCTCCCCACTCCACTGCGGACAAAGCTACGGGAGGCCCTGTCCATTCATCCCCCTACTTCACCCACTTATTCCTAGTTATTTCCCCTCAAAAGAGCCCCAGTTATAGCCCCAGCATGTGCTGTAAGGGCAGAGAGAGGGAGAATGTGAGAGAAGGAAAATGGAAGGGTGAAAGCCGTGAGTACCTGCAACTCTTCAAAGATCAGCTTGATTGCTAGAACAGGGACTGGGAACTAGAGATCCCAAGGGCAAAATGCAGACCTTGGGTACCACAGCTGCACATTTGGAGGCAAGGGGTGTGTGAAGAGGGTGCTGTAACCACAGAAACAACTTGGATACAGCTTTTTTTTTTTTTTAGGAGGGGGATCCCTTCCTTAGTAGCCCTCCTGTCAACAAATTGGTGACCATGGAGACCTTCTGATTTAAAAGCGGACAGAATAATTGACCAGATTTCCAACATCAGTAGGGACATAGGCCCATGTAATGTTACCTTCCCACCTTTCACTGCAAACTTGCAGAACACAGCATGAAGTAAGGAAAAGGAACAACTCAGCAGCAAAGTGATGGAATACAGTGATAGAGCACTAGTATCTTCCCAGTTCCTGGGAAAGTTGCACGTGGATGAGAAAGACAGAGGGCCTCTCCAGATGTCTTTTAAAAGTTGTAAATTCGTGATTATTTGAGCTCACAATGGTAGTGGGGAGGTTCTGCATGATCCCACTTTCAATACTATTTATGCCTGCAAAAGTTTTGGGGGCGGACATGCTGTTTTCTTTCCAATCAGTGAGTGTCCTGTAGACTCCTGCTGAAAAGAGTAACTTTTCATACCACAGATATTCCAGGGTGGATGGAAGGCTGCTTGCCCCACTTTTTTGTACTACGGCACAAGAAAGCCTTCCCAGGTGGCAATGATGAGGTCTCTTTCAGGAAGCATTGCAAAACTAATACAGTGGAATAGTCTGCAGACTGTCTAGCAGATTGGGGTATGAATTTGCCACTCCCTTTCAGGACCTTTCCAGACTGGTGGTTCGTTTTTCGCATTCCGAAACATGTCATGTAAACTCATCGCTAACACAATTATTGCATCAATGACGTGTTTCAGAATGCAACAGACAGACAGTCTGGAAGGGTCCTGAAAGAGAGAGCGGTAAATGGGGGTGGTGCAAGGGGAGAGACATAAAAACGCAGAAAAACACGGAGAGAAGGAACAAAGACAAAAGAAAGAAAAGGAGGTGGCGGCGGAGAAGATTTGAGTGAGACATACCAGTGGGTCAGGTGGGTGGAGGGTGAGAATTGACATTTTTGCTAAGGTGTAGAAAAGCGCAAGAAGAGAAGAGCCCATCAGCTCAGCTCAGGGTAACCTGACCTACTAAGGCCTTTTGCAGCTATCCGTGCTGAGCTGACACATCCTCCTCCTGGACACATACCCAAAATGGAAGGTGATATTCTGTTAGCTTGGAGTCATACCTTCTGTACTTCCAGCCTGGAAATAAAGCGCAAGGGTCCTGGCACCCTGGAGTGTAAGAAGCTGTCTTATTCCAAGCTAGACTATTGGTCCATCTAGCTCAGGGTCATCCACACTAATTGGCAGCAGCTCTCCAGGGTTTGGGGCAGGAAGTCTTTTCTCAGACTGACTCAAGAGATGCTGAGGATTGAACCTGGGACCTTCTGAATGCAAAGCACATGCTCTACCACTGAACTACAGCCCTTCCCTTGAGCACACATGCCACCTGAAGACTCTGTAATTTACAGTGGCAAGGCCTGCCTGCAATTGGTGCAGCTTTTCCTAACAATGTGGAAATTGATACCATGGAATTCCTTCCTAGCACACAGCTGTTGAAAGGTAATGAAACTTGCCAGGGAAAAAGGATAAACTTTATAACTTGATTAATGTAAATCTGTACATATCTAAAATCAGTCTGGTTACAGTGGTACCTCAGGTTAAGTACTTAATTCGTTCTGGAGGTCCGTTCTTAACCTGAAACTGTTCTTAACCTGAAGCACCACTTTAGCTAATGGGGCCTCCTGCTGCCGCCGTGCCGCCATAGCACAATTTCTGTTCTCATCCTGAAGCAAAGTTCTTAACCCGAGGTACTATTTCTAGGTTAGCAGAGTCTGTAACCTGAAGCGTATGTAACCCAAGGTACCACTGTATATTAAAAATGGTGGGGAGGAGACCAACACTGACCTGTTTTTTTTTAAAAAAAATTATCTTGTTCGTCAGATAAGGTGGCCATGTGTCTTTCTTTGCAGAGGATAGTCCTCTGTAGGGCTGCCTGCTCAAAATCTAGTTTAAATATAAAAGAAGCCCAAGAAGGGAGAAGAGGGTTCTTGAAGTTGCTCATGAACAGTTAGCACCTGAAGAACAAAGCACAGGTCACTTGGTCAGTCTTCCCCACTATGGTGAGATGCATCAGACATGTATTTAAATTATAAAACTTCCTAAATTTGCATCTCTCTCTATAAAGTAGTACATGCAGATTTTTATGTAAATCTTTGCCTTCCTTTCATGATGCATTTCTTCTTTTTAAAGGAACTTGTAGGTGGCTACTTTCTATTCAGCTTAAAAAGGCTCCCAGCACAGATAAGACCTGGGAATCCTTGCCTCTAGTAAAAGGTAAAGGACCCCTGGACAGTTCAGTCTAGTCAAAGGTGACTTTGGGGTTGCTGCACTCATCTTGCTTTCTGGTTGAGGTGGTCGGCGTTTGTCCGCAGACGGCTTTCCAGGTCATGTGGCCAGCATGACTAAACCACTTCTGGCGCAACGGAACACCGTGACGGGAGCCAGAGCGCATGGAAACGTTGTTTACCTTCCCGTTGCAGTGGTACCTATTTATCTACTTGCACTGGCGTGCTTTTGAACTGCTAGGTTGGCAGGAGCTGGGACAGAGCACCCTGCCGTGAGGATTCAAACCGCCAACCTTCTGATCGGCAAGCCCAAGAGGCTCAGTGGTTTAGACCACAGCGCCACCCACATCGTCTAGGACAGGGGTCTGCAACCTTTAAGACAAAAAGAGCCACTTGGACCGAAGAAAAAACAACTGGGAGCCGCAAAACCATTGCGACATTTAAAACAGTGGGGAGTGTCGGGGCACACAATGCGCCTCCTCCCCTCGCTAGTATCCGCCCCGGAGCCGCGGCAAAGGTGTAAAAGAGCCACATGCGGCTCCGGAGCTGCGGGTTGCTGACCCCTGGTAGGGGTTGCCAACATTTTCAGACCCCAGGGCACATTTGGACTTTTGATCACTCACTTTGGATTTGGGTAAAAGTCAGATCCAGTGTAAAGGCTGAAAGAGAAAGTGGGAAAGGGTGTCTGTCACTTCCAGCTGCCTCCTTCAGCCCAATGTGCTTTTCCAAGGAATGCACACCACAGGCTCACCACAGGGGCAGCAATTCTCTTTTTGAAGTCAGCCCAAATCCATAACTATCCTGTCATTTCTTATGCAGTGAGGTATTTCGATGCACTTCCCCTCAAAACCAGCTTCAATCCGAATTAAGATGCATAATGAGTGACCTCACTGCGTTTCAAGCCAGCACAGTGTGCACAACTATCACGTGAGTGCAAAGGATGCTGGGACTTTGGTCAAGTTCTTGACATAGCCGGTCGAGGCAGCATCTCTTGAAATTCTATTCCCGTTAGGGCCCCTCCTTGCCTTTCAATTGACAATCTGGGCTCCAATCATAACCTTCGTAGCCCCATCAATCACTCTCTTCCCCGCCCCCACAATTCATTTCGTTCTTGGTCGTTGGCTCTGACTCTCGCCTGTCTGACTCAATTTTTAAATGTGACTGGCCTAGGGAAATGTCAATTAAAAATCGAAACACCATTCTTATTGGCTACTCTGGTAACACCTCACAAGCCGACAAGAAAGGTCTCTTGCCTTTCGCTGGACTGGGCAACGTCAGAAACGTTCGCGCCCACATTTTCACATCCTGGAGTTCCATTGGTTCAGGATCACGCTACTCAAAAAAGCTGACACCTTCGGCTGCCGCTTTATTTGACGACAGCCGCCGCTTTTACTTCCCCGTTAACCGCCTATAAACATCACGTGCGTTCGTCTTTGCAGGGTTAATTTCCGCTCTCGCTGGTGATTGGACAATCCTTGCCGGTTCTTCTTCCTGTTGGCTGGTGGGCTCTTTAAGCACGCCTCTCCCCCGCCCTTTCCTTCAAATACTTTAGCCAGCTCTGTCCCGATTGGTTGAGCTTCGCCGGCCTCCCGGCTAAGAAAACGGATTTCTGGTTTTGGGTCTATGTCTCTGATTGGCAAGTACTCCCCCGCCCTTCCTCATTTTGATCGACATCTCCTACTTCCCTTTAAGGATTGGCTGCGCACCATAGCCCGCTCTATTCGATTGGTTTGCCCTTCGAGGAGCCCCTCCCTCATCTCCAGGCCCTCCCCACCCCTTTCTGTTCCACTTGTGCTCCATTTCAGTGATTGGCTAAAGTCGTTTTCCTCCTTGACTCTCATTGGCTGAACTCCGGCCTAGCCTGTCTGGAGATGCGCGCGCAGCCTGGGGTGGTTGCCTCTCCTACTGCTGCTGCTACTACCAGGGCAGGGGGGAGCGCGAGGCTCTGTGCTTCCTCCTTCTCCTTCCCCACCCTCCCCTTACCACAGCTCAGGCTTTGGCTGGGTGACTAGGGCGCATTCCCCCCCTGTTGGGGGGGAGGGGGCCATTGTTGTTATGGAGACTGGTTCTGGGGACCCTCCATCACCCCCACCGAGGTATAATGCTCCTCACTCAGTGCTCCATGCCCTCAAGAAGGTGAGCCCGGCTCCTGGGGCTGTAGGGGTGCCTGCAGACAACATGACAGCTTCACCCCTGGCAACAGACAATGCAGTAACAATGGAAGCCGTGGAAGCAGACCTGCCAACCAGCGCTACAACAGCAGCACCTTGCATTCCTACAGAAGCAACTTTAACCAAGATCACCGTAGAGATGTCTCTCATGGCTGTGGCCAACGATAACGGGACCACGGCCTTTCCTGCACAGGTGGCATCGGATGCCGTCGTTACGGACGTAATTCCGGTAGGCGACAAATCTTTCGCAGAGACGGTACCTGTGACCAATTCGGTGGATCCTTTGCCAGCCGTGGCAACAGTAAATGGAATGTCGGTGATGTCGTCCGATGATGTTGGGATGGTGTCACCAGCTGTGGCTTTGCCTAAAGAGACCATGGTGAAATCTCTCCCAGTTCCACCAGAATCGCCCACAGTGGTAGTGGTAGCGCCTAGCCCTGTGACGCCTCCTGAGAAGACTTCACCGACCACTTCGGAGGGCTTGGCACCTCACGATCTCTCCACTCCACAACTGCCCCAGGACATGGGTTCCCAGTCCAGTCTCGGAACCCCGGCACCCAGGGCTCCTCCAGCTCCTGACACATTGAGCTACTTGGATTCTGTCAGCCTCATGTCAGGCACCATGGAGTCACTGCCCGGCTCTGGATTCCTTGATGATGCTAGCTCCATGGGTTCAGATTCTGAGATCAATGGATTGGCATACCGGAGGACCGACAAATATGGCTTCCTAGGGGGCAGCCAATATGTTGGTTCAGTGTAAGTATTGGCACCAAGGTGATGAGTTTCCCATGCTGCGGGGAAGGGAGGGAGGGGAGATGTTAGTCTTTTATACAGGACAAACAAGTTCAGCAAGATATCCAGTGATGACCACAATTCCAACTCTGGCTAGGGTGCTGGGAAAAGAATATATGATGTTCTTCCCCTAGGGGGCGCAAGCTGTCATCTTGGAAAAGTTGGGTTGTGGGGAGAATCCTAGGGATGAGAGGGATCCTTGCCTAGATTGGTACCCTGACAGCATAGGTATAACCTAAGGCATCGCCCACAGATGCTCGTCCATCAGACTTTGTGAATGGTATCTCTCTAGTTTGGGGAGTGCTTGCTCTAATCTTTGACTTTTGGGGAATATGAGATTTTGGTTTTATTGGTTGACGTTTGGAACAGAATGTGCAGTCATTCCTCTTTAAGAAAAATCCTTATTTTTCCCCTCTAAACCTACTTCATCATCCTGTGCTTTGCATACAGCAAAGGAACAAAAAGCACTTGAGTTTCTGCAAAGAGGTGAAATACATTGATTCTCCTCTAGGCAGGAGGACAGTGTGGAGTTCAGAGGCTTCCTGATGCTCTGTAAAACAGTTGTATGAATTGGGGTGGGCGGGCTGCTGATCATGACTGTTTTGGAACTGCCTTAATTGTCTTCCTAAACCCTAGAGCTATCTCTTCAGCATGATCCTTCAATTAGATCAAGTGACTCATTTCTCCATCCAAATATGACTTGGGATTTAATCTCTGCCCTTTCCACCATAACTCTGTTTTTTCTCTTCAGCTTGGATGCTCCCCTCATTGGCCTGAAATTCAAACCATCTCTCTGGATGTGTTGTTTCACTACATGCTCTTTTGTCTTGTGACTGACCACCTTTCTTTCGTGCATGCCAGTCAGTCTTTGTCCCAAACACGGGAAGTGTTGTTGTAACATTAGTCTCAGTAGTGTGAATTTAAACTATCACATCTATTATATTTCAGTTGTGTATTACTCTATATCCCCCAAAACCTTGGTTTGCCTCTTACTCCAGTTGCCATCGCCTCTAAATGGCCATTCCATGCATTTGTGGTGTGGTGGGAGACAAAGTTGCTCAGGGAATTCACTGTCCCAGGATGTTAGCAGGTCAAAGGTTAGACATTTTCATATAGGATCTCTACATCTGTAGTTGCTAACTACAGCCAAAGGAAACAATCACCTTCTCACTTGTCAGTCTTCTAACAGCTAGGAGGGAATGAGATGATGAATTGACTGATTACTGCCTTGTTGCTTTCTGGCAGTGTTAGAAATTAGCCAGGCAGGCACTAGGCATGTTTTGCAACTGACATGGGCTCAGTTGCGACCACATGGAGATCTCTGGATGCCAGGTTGGTAACTGACATCTCCATCTGGCTGGCCCCTCCACCTTTCTTAAGCAGGTAAGCAGAACAGTTTCTTTATTGCATTTATATCTTGCCTTTTTCTCCAAGGAGTACATGGTTCACCCACCTCCTCCGCCAATCCCTATAACAACCGTGTGAGGTAGGTTAAGAGGCTGTGACTGGCCCTAGGTCACCTAGGAAGCTTCATGACTAAGTGGGGTTTTGAACCCTGATCTTCCAGGTCCTAGCCCAACACTCTTAACCACTACACTGCACTGGCTTCCGAGAGTACTTCTGTTATTGGGCAGCTATATAAATTAAATAGGTAAATAAATATGGGGAAAGCAAAATGTCACTTGGAGAAGGATATGAAATATTTCCCCTGAAGCTTGAATTTGTTTATTCTGTATTGTTTTATTTGATGTTTTAATGTGCCGTAAACCACTTTGAGATTTTCTCTTTAAAATATAAAGTGGTGTAGATATGAAATTAATAGTAATAATAATAATAATAAAGACTTCTCTGGGGGGGGGTTGGGAATGGTGCCTAGACATACCATTGTGGCAACTGCAACCCAGGTTTAAGATGCCATTTGGTGATTAGCTTATATATCTGAGTTTCTAACACCGCTTCCTTGCTCCTCCTGGAGATGAGATGCAGGAATGGATGGACCACATTCAACTTGCCCTGTGTGCTCTTAATTGTCTTCAGACTCTCAATAAAGTGTATACAGCTGTGGCTGTTGAAGAGATATTCTGGGAAGAGTGCTTGGCTTTTGTTTCCTTATTTTGAAAAGCACCATTCCCCCAGTCCTCAGTTACAAGCAGCTTCTTCTAAAAGCAGTTTGTCATCTACATGGGGCGAGGAAAGAAAGTGAATTAGTGCTCAGGTGATTTGTGCCGTGTGGACTGACCAACATGCTGTTGCTTTTGAAGAGCTTTTGAGCTGTTATCTATTGGAAGGTGTTTCCCCTCTTCCTCTCCATGCCAGTGTATCACTCTACCCAGTCTACCCAGACTTGTTGCCTGTTCTGGCCCTGAAAAGCTGGGAGATTCTGGGTGGGTTCAAAAGCTGACCTTTCAGGACCTGTAGCTGTACAGCGGCAGTTGCCTGTGGCCTTCAGTCATGCAGTTAAGCCCAGTGGAAGTTTGTCTCACTTTCCTGGATTCCTGAGCATAGTAATGCCAAGTGCCACTGACTGATGGATGTCTAGGGAGGTCTTTTAGCTCAAAGACTTACCTAGGCCCCATATCAGGTGCCACTAAAGGGTGTGGAGGAGGAAGCACTGCCTCTCCCCGGTTGCCCTGGTTTCACATGGGAGTGTGGAATAGTGTGTATGGCATGTGGAACATTGTGTATGTGTGTATTTAGAAAGTGACGTACCTGTAAACGGCCACTAACACAGGATTTGGCAGCTAATCCTAAGAATTTTAGTTTTCTTTTAAAGAGAAAGGAAGTCTGCTGAGCTCATGTTTGATGAGGAAAACCTCATCGGAGGCCAGCCCTCTTCTCCCCCGCTAATTTTCAACATGATATTAGACTTCCCACAAGCATCTGTTTGGCCACTATGAGAATAGGACGCTGAATTAGAGGAGCCTTTGGCCAGATCCTTTTTTACATAGCACCTAAGGCCCTTTGTTTCCAATAGCTGGCTGGTCAAATACCCCCAGAGGGCAAGGTGGTGCTGACAGCTTTCTCCCTATTGTTTGTCTCTAGCAATTGGAAGTATTCACTTTCTGAAAATGGGGGCGGGGCTTGGGGAGGTTCTGTTGTAAGCTGTCTAATCGCTGGAATTTTCAGCAATGTGTTGGATCCATTTTTAAAGTCTTCTTACAAGATGCAAGGATGTGGCAGGAAGAAACAGTTCCCAGTTTTGCCCACAAGAAAAGTTAGATGCAAATTAAATATGAAAACTAGTTTATGTTGGCAGTCCTAATTTGCAGGATTGATTTCAGTTGTGGAATGCCCTTTTTAGTTGATAGTTCTGACAAGTGCAAATTCCTAGTGGTTTTGCAGTCTGCTGACCGTCAGCTTGTTCGTCTGCAGAATATGAGTTCCTAACGAGGCCTGTCTGTGTTAAGGATTAGTGGGGTGTTGTTTTGTTTCAGCTGGCGAATGCATGTAGGTGGCAGCAGCCTGGGGGGTTGCTTTCTTTGCTTGGCGGGTGTGGGACCAATTGCCTGAAGTTTCTCTTATTGGATGCGGATAAGCTGCTGTTCCTGCTCAGCCATCTGTACCACCTTCTGTCATCTTTTGGCCGATGCTGGAACCTGTAAGGAAAGCCAGTTATTGAGGAAGAACGACTGACAAAGTAAACAGTAGTCAATAGAAACAGAACTATGGGTATCGCCAACAGGGTTAGAGCAGAAAAAAATGGAACCTGGGATATTGGGAGCTGAGCCGAGACAGTATTCAGGATTTGTTGTTTTGTGTTTGGTTTTCTTCCCTGCCTTATCCACATTGGTTAAAATATATCTCTTTTGATTTGTCTTAGGCTATGAAATGCAGGTTCCTCTAGCGAATTTTGGGGCAAAGTAGAGCTTTTGACTCATGGCTTGAGTACAGGGTGTGTAGGCAGCTCTGGTTCAAACTGCTGCTCAGCCACAACACTCTCCCCTGGGTGACCTTGGACAAGTCACTCACAAAATTCTGAAGATCAAATAAATCCCACATGTGCTGCTCTAAGTTCCGTGGAAGGAAGACCAGGATAGAAATGGGGCATAGGGATGTTGGCTAAGCCCAGGGCTGCACCCACCCCAATGCGCTGTAGGAAGTGAGTGGAGGTCCCTGGTTTCTCTGCGCGTGGGCTAAAGCCTTATAGTGCTGGAGGCTTGTAGGCTGCCTTGCAGAGAAGTGGAGCCCCACAAAAGCACCAGCCACTGGTTTCCTCCGATGGGTGTGGCCGTGGGAGAAAACTGCTGTTCCTTCCCCACCAAACTCCTTCCCTGGCTTTTTTCAATTAAGCAGCCCCACCACTTCCTGTTTGGCAAACCACACTTCCTGTTTCTTGCTGGGTTCTGTTAAAGGGAGCCCTGCCCAGATCCTTCTGTATGTTCGCCTTCCTTAAGACCTCTTGACTGAAACTGATGCGGGGTAAGGAGTGGAAGCAAGTGAAATTAGGCACATCGCTATTCTCCCCCTCCCTTCCCCAATACAAGGAGAAGCTTGAGTTGTCTTTTTTCTTTCTTTATTTTGTGGGTTTGTATTTTCAATTATTATTATTTTTTTAAAAAAGGACAAGTTTGAATTGCCTGTCGTCCCGCGGCCCAGCTAACTGTGAATCACATCACGAGTAGATGAAGGGCTTCTTACTTTCATTCATGCTTATCGGAGTTATCCCCGGATACTCTTTGAAGTTTTCTTTTGTGGGGGAGGAGCGAGGAAAGCTGAATACATTGTGAATCTTGCATGTGCTTGTAGTCATGTAGTACACGGTTGGTGAGCCCGGAGGCAGGAATGGATAGTGGGAAACCACAGACGCTCTGACTGGAACCTTACCCTGTAACATTTTCTCAGGTTACGCAGGAGGAAACTGCTCCATTTCTCAATGCCCTCCCACAATCTCCTTGGTGGCCACAAACCAAGAGCAATGTGTTTGACGGAACGAAAGCTCAGTCTAGGATTTTCCCATGTGTTGAGTAGAAATTACAAAGATGGTATGTTCAGGGTAGCAAGCAGAAAGTGTTTGTTACCTGCCTGGAGGGCTTGTCCTGCCAATCCCTTTTCCTAGAAGGGTCTGGAAGAGGGGGACTCGCAGGGACCATGAAGCTGGGGAGCAAGAGAAGGACACTGGGCTGGGGGAGTTTGGTGCTGTCCCAGTGGTCCCACCTCCCCAGTGCAGCTGAATAATTTGCATTTTTCAAAAAAGGAATTTGTAGTTGTGTCCTTTTGAAAGCTCAGAAGCTGGCCAAGAGGCTGAGGGTACCAGTATATTGCATAGTCCTTTAGCTCTTTCCATGAATGTTGTGTACTTCTTGCAAAATGAGCATAATAGGCATGTATGAAACTCACTTGGCACTGAGTAGAACTGACAACCTTTTTCTCCTTAGCTCAGTATCTGCTTCCTTATCCAGTGTTTCCCAACCGGTGTTCCGCGGCACACTAGTGTGCCGCGAGACGTTGCCTGGTGTGCCGTGGGAGGGAGGCGGGCGCTTTCTTGTTCGCGCCCTGCAGCGAGAAGGGCAGCGCAGCGCCGCAGAAGAGGCCCAGGAGGCAGCAGGCGCCCAGCGCGCGCCCGAGTCCCGCCCAGCTCGCCATGTCCGCCCGCAGCATTGGCGACCCGAGCCAGGCTCTGCGCGCGACGCCCGTCTTATGGCGCGCGCCTCTGCCGAACGCTCAGCCCCGGCGCGAGCGGCTTAGCAACGCCGTCCAATCAGGGCGCATCTCGGCTGGGCGGCCGCGGCATTCTGGGAAATGTAGTCCTCGGGCAGCAGCAGCATTCTGAGAAGGCGTGCTTCTTCGCCGCTGCGCCTTTTATTCCTCATTCCTTCTTTGCTGGCAACGCAAAAAGAGGCGGAGGAGGAAGAGCTGCTGGAAATGCCTGTGTGGGCATCGGTGCGTGCAGGAGATTTAGGCCGGGTGGGGTTGTTAGAGTCAAGATTTTATTTTGTTTATGTCCATCTTGCTGTTCGTGATACTAAACTACTCTTTATAGATCTCGTTATAACTTGTGTGGGGATTGCTTAATTTCGTTGTGGGCGCTTTGATATGGTTTCTTATGAGTGCATTTGGGTAATTATGTAAATATTGCCATGTCGTAAGCCGCCTCGAGCATGGTTTTTAACTATGGAAACAGCATGCAAATGACGATGATATCTAGGGAGGTTTCAAAGGCTTTGTAAGCAGAGTGAAGGAAAGAAATCCAGATGTGATTGTTACGCATTGTTTTTTGCACCGTGAGGCCCTCGTAGCCAAGACTTTACCAGCAGACCTAGTTCATGTGTTGGATGATGTTGTGCGCATGGTAAACAGGCCCAGGTTGTGCACTGAATAAAGTATTTTATAATTTTTCATGTTTCTGTTTACTTACTATTTCATAATAAAGTAATTATAAAATACTATCTTTGTGTTTATTTGATTCCTATTAAAGAGAGTTACTTTATATATAGTCAATATAGGCACAGAGTTAATTTTTTAAATATTTTCTAATGGTGGTGTGCCTCGAGATTTTTTTCATGAAACAAGTGTGCCTTTGCCCAAAAAAGGTTGGGAAACACTGTCCTTATCCTTTCTTCTTCTTTCCCTGCAGTGAAAGCGCCATCCCAGTGGACGTGGCCAGGCAGAGGGAACTCAAATGGCTGGACATGTTTTCCCACTGGGACAAATGGCTGTCACGCAGATTCCAAAAGGTAAGCAGAGATCAGCTTCTGAGTACCACCTTCCCGACTGTGTAGAGGGAAAGACTCCAACTGGGATCTGAGCTTTCCTTTCTTACTGAATTTTTTAATTCCTCCATCTCATTTGCAGGTTAAATTGCGCTGCCGGAAGGGGATCCCTTCTTCTCTCCGTGCCAAAGCGTGGCAACTTCTCTCAAACAGCAAGGAGCTTCTGGATCAAAATCCAGGGAAATTTGAGGTATTTCCAAGTACCTTGTCTTGGCTGCTATGCTGATGGGAGGGTGACGTCAGGCTCTCTGTTGGGAAAAGAAGAGAGAACAAGTTTTCAGCCTTTCTCCCTCTCCATTTTGTTTTGTTTTGTTTCTTGTCTGCTTTTTTCTTAGGAATTGGAACGCCAGCCTGGAGATCCCAAATGGCTAGATGTGATTGAAAAAGACCTACACAGGCAATTCCCTTTCCACGAGATGTTTGCAGCTCGGGGAGGCCACGGGTGAGAGAACGGAAGACGGGTGGCAGGGAATGGTTTTGCTACAGTGGCCAAAAGGAGTGTCATCTAGGGTTGGGAGGTCTCCGTGCTTCTCTTGTGCACCTCCAACTCTTAGGATTGCGCTTCCTCCCTGTGTACTTGAACAATTTGCCCTCTAAGGAGCCTTAGAGGTATTGCTTCATCCCTTCCTCTCCAGCTCCCTGTTCTGGGTGCGGATGATGGAAGTTGTAGCCCACCTGGTTGGGAAAGACTGTCAGCACTCACTCAGGTTCCAGCATTCTTCCTTCTCCTGCATCCCTTCCATCTCCCACCAGAAGTAGCACAGCCCATTGGTCTCCCACTCTCTTTTGCCTGTCCCAGGAGCATTATAGCCTGTGCTTTCCATTGGAGGCCCAGCCCTTATTTGCGGCCTAGTCTTGAGTTAGCAGTGGCACTGCCTAGAGGCCAAAGACCTACGTCACACCTTCCAATCCTTCCCTGAGCCTGCTGGGTCCCATTTTGAATCTGATGCCCCTTCAAGGCTAGGAGAGAGGTTCTGGATCCCTGGTCCTCACCCTTCTCTTCCGTCGCAGGCAGCAGGACCTCTACCGCATTCTGAAGGCCTACACCATCTACCGGCCAGAAGAAGGCTACTGCCAGGCACAGGCACCCGTGGCCGCGGTTTTGCTGATGCATATGCCTGCAGAGGTGAGGAGCTCCTTCATGACACTGTGTGGCAGAGGGAGGGACAGCGGACACCTTGAGAATGTGGGTTCTCTGAAAAAGAAAAGGCTGGGATGTGGTGGATGAGGTTTGGGAGGAGCCGAAGTTTGTATATGCTGGGAAGAATCTTCAGCAGGGTAAGTGGGAGAGTGGAGAGCATCCTGACTCCAAAACTCTTGGGGTCTTGGTGTTGGTAAGGAGAGGGTCTTTTACACCAGGCCTACCCAGTGGTTCCTTCTCTGCTAGAAACCATTCTTTGTGCTGCTGAGGCAGTGGGCAGTGGAGCCGGCACCTTGCTCCATGCTCTCAGAGACACCTAAGAAAAGCCCTGCTGGGTCAGACCAGAGGCTTGTCTGGCCCAGAATGCTGTTCTCAGCTGCAGCCTTTTTTTCTATATGACACTGAGCATGTGCAGTGGGCTTGTTTGTTAAATTGATGATTACATCCACATCCCTTCTTTTCCCCAAGGAGCACAAGCTGATGGGGAGGCCTCCTCCCACTCCTCATTTTATCCTCACAACAAGTAGGCTAGGCCGAGAGCTGATGACGGCCAGGCCGAGGTCACCCAGCTGAGTGGGGATTTGAACCCTGGACTCCCAGGTTCTTGCCTAGCATTTTAATCACCAAACCAAACAGATGTCTCAGAGCCTCCAAACTCAAACTCTAGTCTTGCAGCAATCTTTATGACTGCGCACAGGCCCTCAAGCCATGTCTACCAGGAGATAAGGGTCTGTTGGGCACTCTCTCAACCCCACCCCCCTCTGGCAACCTGCCACTTTTCGGCCCTGTTACTTAGTCTCAGGCCAGTTGTCAACACCCTTACATTGCCCAACGTAGAAATATAGCCGTGGTATTTCAGCAGAATTTATAAGGCCCACAGCAATCCATCGGTAGTGCCTTGGTTATTCATCTCCAGTGGAAGTCAAGGGCTGTAGCTCAGCAGCTGAGCACCTGCTTTGCATGCAGAAGGTCGCAGGTTGAATCCTTGACTCCTCAAGGTAGGCCTGGGAAATACTCCCTTCCTGCAGCCATGCAGAGCCACTGCCGGTCAGCGTAGATAATGCTGTGCTAGATAGACCAATGGTCCGACCCAATATAACGCAGCTTCCTTTGTTCTTCTTTTTGGACGTTGGTTGCTTGTGTGCCACCTGCACAGTACTGCAAAGGATATATGGCAGCCAGAACAGAGGAGGTAACTCTCTGAGCTGTCCTTCCTGAATGCACTAGTAGGAGTTTATTGCATGCAATTGGGCAGTGAACTAATGGAAGGACTGCCTTAGCCTGGAGGGTATGACTGCCCAGATTATCCGTGTTGAGAGTTTCTGTTTCTGTCTCTTCAGCAAGCTTTCTGGTGCCTGGTGCAAATCTGTGAGAAATACCTCCCTGGCTATTACAGCGCTGGACTGGTGAGTACGGCTGTTGTCCTGTGAGGAAGGGCAGTAGGCCCCGGGCATTTCCACAGGGCTTCTTTACGGGGAAATGTCTTCTGCACTCTTAAAAAAACACACACTAATGAATAGACGTTTCCCCCCACTACTACTTCAGTGGAATGTCTGCTTAGCAGTGTCCTGCAAGAACCGCCCAGTATCTTCCTGTTCTCTACTTTTCTGGAGAGGAATGAGACTTGCCCTCCTGGGAAAGGATGGGAGGCTTGTAGTCTGGTAACATGCAGCAGCAGCAGCAGCAGCAGCAGCAGCAGCAGCAGGGACACACATAATTATACACCTGCCTGCTCTTTCCTCACTTTCATTTCCCTGTTAGGGCCAGTTTATCGGACTAGCTTTTTAAGGGTTTGTTTTTCCAACCTGTTTCACTTCTCCCTTCATCCTTCCTCCCGTCAAACCTGGAACTTGCCCTCCCACCCCCTGCCACCACGGATGACTGGTCCGGAGAGTGAGCTCACCTTGGGCTCAAGTTGCCGACTTCTTCTTTTCCCAGCCCATTATAATGGGCTGAATTATAATTATAACTGGGCAGCGAGTGCCGTTTAAGAGGTGTTCCCTTCAGTGGTGTAAATACGACTTCTGTGATCTTGCCTCTCGTGATGTGTGTGCATCCTCTCGAAACAAAGGAACTGTTTTCCCTTTGGAACTGTTTTTATTATTATTATTATTCAGCTGCGTGTATATGCAGGGATAGTTGCTTTTAAAAAATGTGTGCAATTAAGTGACACATTTCTTTAAACCAGGTGACTGCTTAAAAGTGGGCCCACAGTGGAAAAAATATCAGGGTGAAAGAGGGTTAAAAGGGAATTAAATCAAGCCAACCTTTCATATGAATAACAGAGCTAAAGAGGAATCAGTGGCTAACTGTATGTCTTGAGTCTTTCGTTACCCCATCCCACTAGAGCAGGGGTGACTAACCCCAGGTGCTCTAGCTTGCTGTTGGACTACATCTCCCATCTCTCCTGACCATTGGCCATGTTGACTGGTGCTGATGGGAACTGGATCTCCAGCAGCATCTGCGGAGGCAAAGATTCCCCATCCCTGTTTTATATGGACAGAGACTGTGCCGACTGCCAAGCAGGCAAAAATCAACAGGTGAAGGGTCCTGGCTTGGTGGTAGAACGCCTTCTCTCCCAGGTACAATCCCCTGGTATCTCCAGGTGGGGCTGGGAGGGACCCCTGCTTGAATCCTGGCAACCTACTGTAGGCAGGACTAAGCCAGGTGGGCTCACTTAAAGGCAGATTCCTATGTTTGTTTCATGCTGGGGGAAGCTTTATTTCTGCCTTATATACAGCCATTAGTCACAGAACTTTTATCCATTAAAAATATGGCAATTCTTCTAGCTCCATGCAGCCTTAAGCTGTGGTCCATGGGACCACTTCAGGCCTGCCTAGTCACTGTCTCTGACTTTCCTGTCCCTCTGTATTTCTCTGTTGCTCTCGCAACTCCTTTCAGGGTCTGAAATCAGGCCTCTCAGGCTGCTTTTTGGCTTCTTTGTTCTCCCATGTGTGTTGAATCAAAGGTGAACTGTTCCAGAAGCTCTGCAGACACCGTCTTGGTAGTCAAGATAATCCAGCAAATAATTGGTAGTTGTTGTAGCAGCAGCAGCAGTGAGCTCATATACGTATATATTCATTTGCTTTGATACAGGCTAATTGGCTTCATTATCTGTGGGCTTGGGGTTCTGGGCTCTGAGCCCAGAAAGGGGAACCAGCTGTGAGATTTTGGTATTTGCCATGATGGAGCCACGATGGGAAGTCATGGCCAGAGTGACAAATGCTGCTTTGTGTATAAAGGTTGTCTAAAGCTTTGCTTGGGTGTGGACAAGCCACCTCCTTCCTGCCGTGTCTGCATCTGTAAAGGCTGGGAGACCTGGCTAGCTGATTTGCTGAAGTCTACACCTTTCTTTTAATAAAGCACTCTGGGATCTTTTACATCCTTCTTTGGTATTCCTCAGGGTGGATTTTGATTAATTTAAAATCACTAGTCAGTAAGATTTGATTTAAATCACTAGTTAGTAAGACTTGATTTAAATCATTATTTATTTTTACAGAAAGACTCATTCTTGCTGGTATGATCTTAATATTTGCAACCAGATGAAGGTTTCATTTTTGGAATAATAAATTTTCAGAGTAGTTTTTACAGTTCTATCAAAAATTACTGATTTGGTTATACTATTAGAAATACGTTGACAGATAATTATGAAATTATTGTGAGGTTTAATAAGTTAACTGTTTATGTTTGGACAACTTTTCTTCTGTACTTTATTGGAAGGAGAAAATCATTTCCTTAATAACAATTTAAACAATTTTTTTAACTAAACAATAACATTATAGCATAAGTATCCATGTTTGTTAACTGATGTGGTTAAACGGTTTTTTTAAAAAACACCTTAGACTGAGTTTTAGCATGCATGAAAAACTTAAAACAAATCCTTATTTCCTGATGAATAGCCTTTGGACTATAATGTAACTTAAATAGAAAACTATCTTTAGAAGGATTTTTCCTCCAAAAGCAATTTATTTTAAAAATACAATTTAAATAAATTTAAATTTTAAAATACAATTAAATAAAAACCCCATGATTTTCAATGATTTTTATCCACTTTGGTATTCCTGCACTCAACCACTCCCACAAGCCCTCCTTTGGGCTGGTACAGCAGGATACAATGAAAAGGAGAAAGGTGAAAGTAGTGGGGAGGGGAAATACAGGGTTGGTGATTCCCCTTCCTCCCAGTGCTCCTCTCATCCCAGAGGTTTCTTGTGCTTCCTGCGCAGGAGGCGATTCAGCTGGACGGGGAGATCTTCTTTGCCCTGCTGCGGCGAGCGTCTCCCATTGCCTACCGCCACCTGAAAAGGTACAAGGTCGACCCCATCTTGTACATGACGGAGTGGTTCATGTGCATCTTCTCCCGGACCTTGCCCTGGTGCTCTGTGCTGCGCGTCTGGGACATGTTCTTCTGTGAAGGTGAGGCTCCTTCCTTGGTCCTCACTCGCTTTCTCTCTGCCAGGCCTTGGGTGCCTTGATTACGTAGTGTCTGCATCCCCCCCCCCTTACGCCGACCCAATCAGGAGGGAAAGATACAAGAACAACGGCACTTTCTGCTATAAATTGGATCCTCTCCTTTGGCTTTTCTTTTGAACTGCCTTTCCATCACTGAATCAGAAGGGTGACTCCTACTCCCTTGCTTACCTGCTTATTACAAACTCCACTTGTGTAGTCTCCTTTTTTAAAAAGCTTATCCCCATCTCGCAGAGGATGATGGGATTCCTGGCCTCATACGACAGGCATCCCCAAATGCGACCCTCCAGATGCTTTGGGACTACAACTCCCATCATCCCTAGCTAACAGAACCAGTGGTCAGGGATGATGGGAATTGTAGTCCCAAAACATTGGCGGGCTGAGTTTCGGGGTGCCTGTCATACGATGTGTCAAGCTCCTTCCTCCCCCCACACCCCCAACCCCTGAGTGATACTTCTCTCCCACTTGCAGGGGTGAAGATAATCTTCCGTGTGGGTTTAGTGCTGCTCCGGAACACGCTGGGCTCAGTAGACAAGCTGCGCTCCTGCCAAGGCATGTACGAGACGATGGAGAAACTAAGGAACCTGCCTGTTGATACCATGCAAGAGAACTTCCTTGTCCAGGAGGTGAGAAACAGGTCGTAAGGGCAGAGTTCTAAGCGGAGAACAAGGAGCCTTGGATTCTGCACCAAGGATGAGTTACTGCATGATATCCGTCAGGCAGAAAGCCAGTTGGGAAAGTAGGCAGGATGCACAGGGCAGGGGAAGGCAGAAGGCAGATTGGGGTCAATTGTTTGATTTCTAGATGATCTGCAAATCGGCCCTCCTCTGGTGTAGAGAATGCAAATTATCAAAGGGATATCAGATTAAAGAAGGGATGATCCACAGTGTCCATATTTATTCAAATAAACATGAACTGAAGATACAAATGCACTCAAAATCCTAAAGTAAGATAATTGAGGAAGGGAGCTTAAATGAGCTCATAAAAGTAGACTGTCTCCAGATTTAGTGGAAAGTGCTTTAAGAAATCTGCTAATCACATGCTTTCAGTGACAAATTACATGGAGTTCAGGTTTTTGGGAGGGTGGGAAGGCTGCTTCTCCCTCAACTTTTAAAATGGTTTTGATTTTATTTTTTTCATACAACCAAAATCTGCCTGGGCAGGCTGTGAGTTGGGAGTGGAGGAAGGGCAAACGGGGAGGTTCTGCCTAACCCTTCCCCTTCATGTTTGTCAGTATCTAATTGCCCTCCACCAGGCCCTTTTTTGCCTGCACGTGGGTAAAGTCCCGGATCCTGGTATTCCCCCAAATGCAGATTATAAGGTGGCATGGCGGAAGTTGATTGGACCATAGCAGAAAAGGTTAAGCAGCCTTCCTCTGCTTGCCCAGGCTGATTTGAAAGTGAAAGAGAGAGAAACCACAGAGGGAAGAAACCAGGAACTCCACATGGCAAGTGGTTTCCATTGCAGCTGTGACGTAGCCTTGCCCAGGCACTGCCTTTGTTTTGTGTGGACCGGGAGATGTTACACATACGAGGGAGCTGCTGAGACAGGGGTGGAAGTGTGGCGGATATTGGTGAAAGATGCCACGTGGCTATTCCTCTTGCGCTTGCTTTTCTCCCGTCCCCCCCACCTTGCCCAGGTGATTAACCTCCCGGTGACAGAAGCCCTTGTGGAGCGGGAGAACGCCACGCAGCTGAAGAAATGGCGGGAGACGCGGGGAGAGCTGCAGTACAAGCCCTCCCGCCGGTTGCATGGCTCGCGGGCCATCCACGAGGAAAGCCACCGCATGAACCCGCCCTTGAGCACCAGCGCCAGCCTTTTGAGCCTCACTGGCCTGCGGCAGAGGGTTGCCATTGGCAGTACCAGCGGCCCCTCCTTCTCCCCAGCGCACACGGTGGGCTCCTTGGCCGTGTCGGCTGTCCCCACTCCGGCTCCTCCTGCCGCCCAGAGCCAGGTGGTGGTGTCCGAAGGCCTCCACGCGGCCTTGCCGTCCCCGACCGGGAACAACATGCCGCTCGGTGGGCCCCCCAGGAAAGCGGGGGGCAGCAGCAAGGAGGAGAGGCGGAAAGAGAAGGAGCGCGAGAGGCAGGAGAAGCTGGAGAAGGAGCGGCAGAAGCAGGAGAAGGAGCGGGAGCGGAAGCTGCAGAAGGAGCGGGAGAAGCAGGAGAAGGAGCGGGAGAAGAAGCAGCAGAGGGAGCGAGCCAAAGAGGAGGCCAAGCTAAAGAAGGAGAGGAAGTTGTCGCTAAGGAAAAAGGAACCCAAGTCAGCCCCTCCGCCGCCCGCTGAGGAGGGGAAGGAGGGGGGAACCTCAGGGGCGTCCGTGGTACAAAGCACACACTTTTGAGTAGGGCTGGGGGGCCACACGGGCCCCGACGACTCCCTCCCGTCAGCCAAGGACCAAGGTGGTGGCTGCCACCCAGAGACTTGTTGTGGTAGGGGGACCCAGAGGGCAGGAGGAGCTGTGCCAAGGCGAGGGATAGCTGCCATGCACTGAACCACACAACTTCGGGCCACAGTTGGGTAGTGGAATACTTAACGGAGGTCCATGTTTTTACCTCCCTTTGCGTGCCTGAGGTGGATGTGGCTCCCTTCCCCCTCCCCTTCCCCTCTCGTTAATGAATAGGGCCAAAACAAGATGGCGGCTGTGCTCTGCGTGGCTACGGAAAATGGCCGCCCACTGCTGTTTTTGTCGCAGCCGACAGGAGCAGCTGCATCACTCTGCTCCCCTACCAAAATGTTGGGAATCTTAACCTAGGAGGTAACCGTATTATTAATAATAACTCCTGACATCCCAATTTCAAGTACTGTATATAGAATCCTCTCTCCTTAAAGCTATCTAACCACTCCAGGCTTACAAACACCACCTCCAGAGAGGCTGGTTTCGAGAACAAGGTATTGTCTTCCCGCCAATATATTAACAAATGTTTCTTCCATTGTGGGTTGGCCCTCATAACATTGCTATATATATATATATATTTCCCTCGGCTCCACCCCAGACCTGGCTTTCTCCCATATAAGAAATCCATCCTTCCTTTGGCTACCTGGCCCCCATGCATGGTTACCCACAGGCTACGATAGTTGCCTTATTTGCTGGCGGTGTCTCTGTTCTTTGAAAGCTGCACGGCAGCCTGAAATTTAATCATGGTGGCTTTAGCCAACATGGAGCTGCAGCAAAGAGGAAAGCTGAACCTGTTGGATTGCTCCCTCGCATACCGTGAATTGAGACAGGAAGCCTTTCTGTGAATGCGAGTCTGAGTGTGTGTATGTGTACGTGTATTGGGGGTGGGGAGCTGGCTACCCTGCTACCCAGAAACTCAGCCATTTGGCTGCTCCTATGCAAAGATTTCTTAGCAGTGGTCAGGAAAAAAAAAGTTGGTGCCTATATGTGTCTGTTGAGATTTCTTGAGCAGAAAGGAGAAAAGAGATTGGAGATTCCCCCTTTGGTGATATGCACTTGAGAAAGGTTTTTGGTCTTCAGCAATTTCTTGTCCTTCAGTATTTATCTTCTGGCACAAACATTCCTGTTTGCTGCCTCCAGACAGTGAGGGAGGCAGCCAGGTTTCTAAGGAGCTTCTGCCAACAAGGTGTGTGTGGGGGGACTGTGTTGTACACTGTTCCTCTCCAAGCACCGGTACCCATATCAGTCCTTTTACAACATATTTGGAAATATTTGCCCTTGTTTTATTAGCATACACCCAGCACCAGTCATTTGCTGGATACAAAGGACGCGTCTCCACAACACATTTAAGCCAGTGGACCATTAGTTTTGACTTCTCCGGGCTCTCTTGAAGAGCCCTTTCCCAAGTTCCCAGGTGTTTGGTATGAAAACTCCCATGATCCCCAGCCCAGCATGGCAGTCAGAGGCGGTACAGTACCCTAACATTTATTGAGAGACCAGCAGCAGGAAGAAGGCTGGCCTAGGGTCAGGTAAAGGAATTGTCATTTGGGGAACAGGCTGAGAATGCTTTCATATTTTGAACCCCCACAGTCCCTTCATAAAATTCGAGGCACGGCGGTTTAAAACAGGTTTTAAAATGCTTTTAGTTTGTTAATATAGTACATGCCCCCAAGTTGCATGCTTTATCCCTCTGTCCCTCAGCGGAAAGCAAATTGGTTCCTTTAAAATACTGTAACTCGAATGATTTTTCTCGATGTGTTTTCGTTATGCAACCACAAACCCTTTTAACGTTCCTACACACTGGCATTAGCTAGCTAGGCCTTCCTTTGATAGCAGTGCAGAATGCAGCCGGTCAGATCCTTGGCTTTTATTCCATGCAGCTTAGCGAGACCTGGGATGCTGATATCTACAGTACCTTAGCAGAGCCTGGGCGGGTCAGAATTTTAGAAATGTTGTGGGAAGAAGGGTCTCTGCAACAGGGAGAGAGAACTCTTGCTGCCTTGGAGGTCAGGCTGGGTTAGAAGTGGACTGAATTGATTTGGGCAACTTTGGACATGTGCATCTTCATAACTCTCCCTGTTGCCCCTTCTGCTTTCACCTTCTGCAGCATCGCTCTCCGCCTTAGGTCACATTTTTCTGCAGTTGTGAATAGCTCGAAAATCATGAAGCTGTTTCAGAATCTCACTTCCCAGAACACGCCTGCCCTAAATGGCAGCTTCTAGACTCCACGATCCTATCTATGAGCCAGCGAAAAAGCTCCATTAGTCCATCCTCATTTCTGTATATAACTTTTCTCTATAACACATATATTATATATATGTTTCAGTATTGTAATTATGTATACAGAACCTTGAGGTTATTATTTTTTTGACCTTGTGCTCTTATTTAATGGGACAGACACTGGAAAAATTAGGAATTCATTTTCTCCCCTTGCCTTTTAATTTTTTATTAGTTTTTTTTTACCACTACTGCTAATCAGGAAGAGAAGAAAATTGGAAGTTTACAGCTGACATCTCTTTAATGTCCTCCTTGTTAATAATGTCTTTTTGTTCGTGCCTCGTTCTTACTGGATTTCCCCCCCCCCCATTGCTTTGTTTAAAAATGTTAACAAAACAAAATGACAGTCCAGTTTGTCAAGCGTCTTCATTGATTTTTGATGGTTTGGGCTGTCTTCGGTGGGATTGGAGTATCTGCATCCTTGGAGTAGGGGAAAGTTTTCTTTGCTGAAGGGTGCACACAGTGTGCGGGTGCTACCTGTGAATCTGATTTAATTCCTGCCTAAACACAGAGCTTCACATTTATCTCTGCTGAAATTTCATTCTGTGAGTTTTGGCCCAAGTCTCCTTCCAATCAAGATAATCTCTGTCTTCTAAGGCATTGGTTATCTCTCGCAGTTTGGTGTCATCTACAGATTTAATGAGTACCTCCCCCCACCCCAGCCTTCATCAAATCATTTATTGTTGAACAACACTGGGCCCAAACACAACTGTATAGCACCCAGCTTGTCACTTTGGCTCCATCTGAACTATACGTTTAAAGCAGTGCCATACAGCTTTAAAAAATCGTGTCTTCCTCACAAAGAATTCTGGAACATGTAGTCTGTTAAGGATGCTGAGAATTTTTAAGAGGTCCCTATTCCCCTCACAGAGCTACCATTCCCACAGTGATTTAATGACCAACCCCTTTTCCCAGGGGACTCTGGGAATTGTAGCTCTGTGAGGGAAATAGGGGTCTTCTAACAACTCTCAATACGCTGAACAAACTACAGGATCCTTTGAGGAGAAGAGAGGACTCTTTGAAGTGAGATCACCATAGTACTTAAAAGATAAGTGCAGATAGGACATTTTCTCTTTAAGGTTGACCAGGAGCCACTGATGAGCACTCCTTGGCTGCAATCCCTCACTAGCTACAACTCTTACATCATGGTAGCTCCATCTAGCCCACATTTTACTAGTTTGCCAACATGAAATATGTAGGGGGACCTTGATCAGGGAAGAGGAATCTTCAGATGTTGTTGGATTCCAGCTCTCATCAGCTCCACTTTGCACTGTCCACAGTAAGGGATGATGGGAAGATTTATTCCAGCATCAGCTGCCGGGTCAAATATTCTCTGTCCCAAAACTCTGAGACTTTTGACGTCCCTCTCAATTCTGCCATGATTGGGGAAGGCTGTTGGTAGTTTTAAGATCAATGTGTTTGCCACATTGCAACCTTTCTCCAAGAAACTTATGGATGACATACTGTACTTGGGGCAGTCCGGCATAATAGGTGGGACTGAGACAGAGCTTGGACAATGGTTACTTTAGTGGGCTTCATGGTGGAATGGAGAATTGAATACTGTCCCCCTTTGTTGGGAACAAAGATACTTTTAGGTTTTAAAGTTGTGCTGGAGGAATGATTTTATGATGAGTCTTGTAGGCAACTACCTGGAAATCATTGATAAATTGTGTGTGTGTGTGTGTGTGTGTGTGTGTGTGTGATGGTGGGTTGGGGAAGATGACGCCATTGGAAGGACCATAGTTTAGAGGTAGAGGCACACTTTGTGTTCAGAAGAGCCCATCTCTCCCAGTTAACAGGGTCTCTTTACAGTTAATCTGAGGGAAACTTCTGCTTGCGGCCTCTGCTGAGCCACCACTCTCCAGGCAACCCTGGCTTTGATAGCAGTCAACTTTTAGGCCAGACATGGTGGATACCTGCTGCTTCATTTTTATTGTTACTTTACCATATCACGATAGTGCTGTTGTGGCACTGCATCCTTAATGCTAAGGCAAGGGTCCTGACCATAGCTGTCAACCTTCCCTTTTTTTGCAGGAAATTCCCTTATTCCAGCGCCGTTTCCTGGATTGTTAGATATCCCGGATTGTTAGATATCCCATAGACCTTTCCCGGGACAGGTGAGGCTGCTGATCCCTTATTTTCAAATTTGACAGCTATGGTCCTGACCCACCAGTCAAAGACCAGAGAGAAGGCCAATGCTGTTTTCATCACACCACCGAATGCATGGACTGGACCAAATAATGGCAAAGAAGCCAAGCTTTCACTTTGGGGAATGGTTTTGATTCCACATTCAGGAGGTTGGCGCAGCTGAAGACTCCACCCACAATAAGCGCTCACCAAAATATACCGTTACTGAGCTCAAACTCCTTTCTCACTATATCAGGTATGCCAGCTGCTACTATGATAAACAATTCTCAAGGCTGGTAGGTTTCTTTGTTTAAAAATACACATTTATTAAAATCTCTTGTAGCATGTAAAAATCAATGTCAATGTGCTGACATATGTTTCGAAGGCATTAATCAGATACCGGCTCTGCGTGACTTTCTTGCCTGAAACTTCATAGATTCTAGACTTCCCAAAGCTCACTAGGCACGGTCCAAACGTTTGGTATGGCCTGAATTGCCCTACTCAAAATCAATCAAGGACTCATTCTCTGGCGGCTGCTTGCCTTGCTTCTCCTGCCACTTCTGCCTCAGCCTCAAAATATCTTCTCCAAATTGCTGGTGGAGCTGGACAAAACCCATGCTGAAGGGACCAGCTTCCACCGCCGGTTTTGTAGTGGGGAGTTTCAAGTCTCTTGCCAAGTGTCTCGGTTGTCCTTCACATTTGGGAGGTTGCTGGTGCTTCAGCATCTGAAACTGTCCCTCCAGCTCCGTCACCAAAGCTCGGAGGTAACAGAAGCCTGCCGTACTGAGAGCTCGCACCCAACCCTCCATGGTTTCTTGGCTCTCGGCCGCCATTTTGTAGGATCGGGCCCCAGGTACGCCATTGGGGTAGGAAATCTCAAAGGTGTGGGGTTCAGATGCAGACTCCTGCAGCTCCACGGTGCAGCCTTCCAGGATAATGAGCCGGAGAGGACCCCGATCTCCCGATTGGTCTCGGCAGAAGAGGATATTGCCCCAGAGCTCGCACCAGCATGGCCGGTAGGAGGCTGTGCGGATGCTCTTCTTGTACAGCAATCCCTGCCGGTCTGGGAGATGCCTCAGGTGGGAAGATGCAAGAGCACTGGAGAGGTGGAGTTTCATGGCGGACAGAACCCTGTAAAATGAGGGGTGAAATAATGATGGACGACTGGTGGCGGTGAAGGGAACAGGTGGGCATGTCAGGAAAGTACAGGTGATAATGGGCCCAGAAAAGGAGCTGCAGATATAGAAGGGGGGGGGAGAGAGAGAGAGAGAGAAATGAGGGAGAGTGTGGAATAACTTAGGGATGGGCTGAAAGGGAATAAGAAAAAATGAAGCAAAGCACATGAAAAATGGGATCACGATTTTGAAGGGGAGGTGAAAGGTCTCTGGCTGTGTACACATCTTACATTTAAAGCACACACACACACACACACACACACCCTGAAATAAAAAGAATCCTAGGAAATGTAGTTTGTTAAAGGTGCTGGGAAGTATAGCTCCCTGTGAGTAAACTACAGTTGCCAGGATTATTGGGTTGCTTTAAATGTGTGGTGTTTATCCAGCTGGGAGAGATTCTAATTTGGGATGGATTTTTTATTTTATTTTTAAGAAAACTGAACAGGATCTAGAGTAGGATGTTGCAACAAAAGTGGAAATAACTTCATGAAGGAGCAAACCAATTGTGCTATACTGTATAAGCATAACAGGACAGGAGAACAGAACAGATAAAGAAATTGAAATAATGGTTTTAGAAGGAGTGAGGACAAAAGGTGGTGAAGGAAGAAAAGTAATGAAACGATAGGATGAAGGGTGCCGGAAGAAAAAAGGAGAGGATGAATCTATGCATAATTAAAGAAAATACAGGGAAAGGGGGGAAACTGGAGAAGAACTGGTGTGAGAGGGAAGGAGCAAGAACTTTCCCAGTTTGTCTTGAAATAAATGTAACTATAGCAAGTGTCCCTAGCAATCATGAGGATATTGTAAAAAAGGGAAACAAATACCCCTGAATGCCCTTACCTTTGGTGTCAGATACGTCTGAGTTCCCCCTTTTGGTTTTCCTTCATGGCAGTTTCTCCTCCTTCCACTCTTCAAGAGAAAACATTTCCCAGGTGAAGGGGCGGGACTAGAGCTCACCTGGCGATTCACAAGTCACTTGATCCAGGAAGAGAAGGTAGCTATGGGAGAAGCTTGCCTCCCCTTTGATCGTGGTCCCTTGCTTTCCCCACCCACAATTTCTCTCCCAAGATGAAGAAGAACAAGCAACTAGAAAGAGGAAGTAAGGAACCCACAACCAATTACTGAAACTTAACCTCGAAGGAAAGTTCTCGCTGGTCCTAAAGAGAGTTGTCTTAGAATGGATTCGTTTCAGGAACAAATAGCTGTGAGGAGTGGAGGGTAGAATAATAGAACTGCTGGAAGGGCCGGAGGATCATCTAGTCCAACCCCCTGCAATGCAGGAATCTCAATCGTTGGGATCTAAGTTCTAGTTGCTACAGTTCCCCATAAAGTGCCCCCTTTTCTGAGCATGCCTGTCCCGCCCCCCATGCACCCACCCTGGAGTATCATATACTTACTGGTCCATCATTAGTTAAGAAAATATGGTGGTTTCTAGGGATCGGGTATTGTCAGTAATGGCACTGCTGGGGGGAACCAGCAATTTTAATCTCTTGCAGTCTTTAGATGTATTACAAATATTTTTTCTTTCTTCATTAGGCTTTTGATGAGCAAGTTGTATTCTCTCTCTGCTTACTCTTGGACTCTGTTTTAAAAAATTTCCTTGGAAATGGATCCGTTGCCTTTTAGCCTGTCATTTATCTGTGAGAGGCCCAGCATCAACTCTGTATATAATACGCCAAGTGGAAGGGCTACAAGAGTATATAATTGTTGGGTCAATAATTCCCCAAAGACTTGAGCAGCTGGATGCTCCCTGGCAAGGGATCTTTACAGTCTCATTTGACTTGTTGGGGGTGAATGTGCCTCCACTTTTCTGAGGAAAGGCAGCTCAGGAAAAGTTGTGGCTTTCCTTGATGGTGGTTCCCTCTGTTTTGTTTTAAGAGGAAGGGCAACACTGCCATGTTATATTTATTTTCTAATGCCTGTGTCTGGGGACTATGAGGGTCATCTAGTCCAACCTCTGCAGTGCAGGAATCCTTTGTCCCAATATCAACCCTGAGATTAAGTGTCTCATGCTCGACCAACTGAGCTATCCCAGCAGCTTGGAATA